GACATACTAAAACTGGTGAGCTGTGGGTGCAAGACAAGGCACTGCGTAAGTCAGCACTGTTCGTGCAAGAAGGCGTCCTTGGCTTGCACAGACATCTGCTCGTGCTGCTCATGCGCCAATCCGTTTGGGGCCGTACTCGAACAGAACGACAGCTCCGGTGCCGCAGATGTGGGAACAACTGCATGTGAAGGCGACCAAAACAGTGAGAGCGAGGAAAGTACTGGTGCTGACGACTTTGAAGAGTCTGACTCCAGCTCAGATTCTGATGAGGATCCAGATCAGGAGTTTGACGACTCGCTGTAGACACTGGCAACTGCACCGTCCTCCCCTGGTCCAAGCCACCCATTGTGTTTGTGAATTATGGCTATGGCTGTCAACACACCTAACCTGTTCACACATTGTATATAAACTGCTTGTACATAGCTTGGCTTCTAAAGTGATGACGCTATCATCCTACATTTTATTCCAATTTACATATTAAACTGGGCATATTGTCCATGAATTGCACAGCACTGGACATGTCTTCCTTACTACAGTTGTAGTATTTATTTATTTCATTTTCGATTGAGTAGTGACTACAATGCGTTTATATCATTTCTAGTCTTCTCTAACTCTAATTTAATCGAGTGCTATTGAAGGTGTGTGTGCCTGAGAGAGAAGCAGGGAAAGGGTCCAAGCTTACCTTTGCAGAATGATAGGTAAGGTGTCCCTCGTATCGATCGTATCAACGAAATTCCAATCAAGAAAACATTTGAGATCACTCGCGAAGCGGCGTCAAACTACACGACACGACGGGTAGTTTGTTGGCTGCCATTGCGAGTTGGTAGTGGAAGGACCAAACGATATCTAGGCTAGGCTTACGAAGTCCCTGTGCTTTACTTCTACAAGAGCGAGAGTAAACTTCTTGACCAAGAATATTATTATTATGATCAACAACAAAGTGAAGTCGCTCGCCGACCAGATCAGACACTCGCTTTGAGTTTTCAAATTTGAGTGCATTTGGTTGTCATGTGCGTACTCTACGCAACTCAGAATCGGCCCGAGACGAAAGGTGAGCAGTTCAAGTGACCGACGAAGCTGAACTAAAATTGCCTCTCGCGGAGCTCCTTCCCCGATCTAGACGGGCCAACAACTACCATTCGACTCCACAACAGGTACTCTCTCCACCTGTACAGTTCGATTTTACTCGGATTCTAGTGGCAGACCACTTTCAGATTTAGACACTTTTTTTTGTCCTGGATCCCCGACTACAATTGCATCCACAAGGCCGTAGATGCATGTAAGCACACAATGCTGTACAGTATAAGTAGTAGTCGACATGTGGTGCCTTCCTGCTGCACATGCGGCAAGTTGGCAATGACACATGACTTATCTGCACCGCACAGCGTGAGCTTAGAAAGGAATATTGCACACATAGTGCTATTTGTGTTCCGATATCATTAAGCCGGTATACATGTACTAGTATCCTTATACATGTACCTGGTGACTCGATAGGCGATGCCGACTGTACTAATCTTATCCATATTACCCGATAGGCTATAGCACACTGCGTCAGATCACTATGCAACAAAACAAGAGCTTTGGAGCAAATATACACTGAAGCAAAGTAGGTTTCAACGGTACAGCACTTGTCACGATGAGGGGAGTTACGAGGATGGTTAGGCCGTGACACATAGATGATGATTGTTAATGATTCATGCACGGTGGAAAATAACCACCAATGGCGATGATATTGCTTTCACAACAATGACATCAGTAGGAGCAGTGACACAACTTTACTGCTCCAAGTAGGATTTACAAGCGAGTGAAGGGAGAGCAGACTGGTCTAATAGCAGACCGGGTCTAAGCAAGGAAGTAATCGGCATCAGAGGTGAGCTTGCACACCAGAAAACAGATGATGATCACCAAACACAGAGAAGTTGGCTATGTGTATGTTTGTGTCACTGTGTGTGCATGTGTGTGTGTGCATGTGTGTTTGTGTGTATGCGCGCACATCTGTGTGTGAGAGAGAGGCAGACGGACAGATAGCATATGGTGGGAGGGATCAAGGTCTGACCTCAGAGTTAAATGCTGACGGTGTGGAATAGCAACAGTGCGAAATCGGGCAGGGTGGTTAATGGCCCACACTGGAGCCGAGTAGGAGCGCCAGTGGTTGAGGGCTAGCACAGGAGTAGCAGCAGCTCCAGCCTAGGAAGATCAGCTTCTGGATGAAAATCTCCCGGACACAGTAGGTACCAAGCTTCACTAGCAGATTGCCGGCAGGGGTGCACGGCGAGCACCCGTACATCCCTCAAGCCACCAGAGCCGCAGTACTTGGACACGATCCAGGTGCTTACCCGCCAACAATGCTGAGAAGGCACTGGAGCCATACAGGAACTTATGATCAAGCATGACCACAGACTTGAAATACAGGGTCCGGCGTTGAATACTGAAACAGCGACGTCTCCTCCACAGAACACCACTCAGCCCCACCATTGCATTATTTTCGCTTTTTCATGATTTTTACAATTGTGTTAGAGCACACAGCACTCGATGCAACATTTACCAGTGACTAAATAACTCCGCGTCTCCGACCATAACTGCAGCGTTCCCGTGAGCCTGTTGGATTTCCGTCAGCCTGTTGAGATTATCTTCATCTCGTCACATGTGAGCCTGTGTGTTTCATCCGTATCGTGGCACAATTACACAGACACGATTTCCAACTCAGGCCGGTTCCGTTGCTCGAAGGGTTGGCGGTAAGAATTGCTACGCCGTCTGTGGCTGCATGGGAACTTGGCGAGTCGTCGTCTTTCTCCATAAATCCTGATCGTCACGCGAACAACAGCCACTATTGCCTAAAAACTACGACACAACAGTATCAAGCTCGCCCCAGCAGAAGGACACGAATGACGAGCGCTAAGACGGAGAAAGAGAGACAGGGTTAGCGAGAGCTGACTAGTGCAGGTACGCAGTCATCTCCTGAGGTGGTGGGCGAAGCAGCGAAGTGAAACGAAGGAAGATAGAACTTATTTGGAGGCATACGGAGGCACCAAAACCTATTGCCTGTCACATACTAAGTGCCATTTAGGGTTGACAGCTGTCAGCTGACAGCCTCAAAAATTTGAAAATCTGCTCAAAAAACTCTCGATCAGAACTCTGCGCACTCTCAAATGGAGCGCACAGTAAAAAACTCGGCGACGAAGAACGCTTCGTATCGACGCCCTGGACTGAATTCGGCACGTCCAACAAACGGAATAGTGTTCTCTGATATATTCTCTACGTGCTGGGTATGGTCGCGTTTAGTTGGAAGCTCAGTGCATCACCACTTTCGATTTTGAGACTTGGCCGATGGACTATCATCTGCTGCTGGAACCTCTCAGTCTCAGGAGTCAGTCAAGTGTCAAGTCAGTCGGACAGGAAACGGACCTCCAACGCTCGGACTCGGAGCATGCTAGCAGTAGCAGCCACTTCACAGCGGAAGTGACAACACTTACAATGTCATGTACTTGTACAATCATGTACATGTACAGTCAGACCTCGCTTAACCGCACACATCTGTTTTCCACAAAAAAATCCGGATAGGCGAGGAAACCGGATAACCAAACACCAGTTATGTTGGATGCATCACGTATGCTGTAAATCTGTAACCAGCTATTTTCTTCCGGATGGCGAGGGATCCGGATAAAAGAGGACCGGATAAGCGAGGTCTGACTGTACATGCACATCTCCGACTCTAGGCATTGGGCTAACATATGCGTTGCCATGGTGTAAAAAGTGGCGTTGGATGTCTATCCTTGAGGGTTTGCGCTGCCATTGGTGCATTGCAGGATTTGTCAGGATGGCCCAAGTCACAAGTATTTTCTCACTACCGCCTACCGGTACATCTTGTACCCGTACATCTTGCTATTCATCTTATTCTAGTTCTAGCGCATTGGCAAACGTGTACCGATACATACACACCATACAGGGAAAGAGGTGGCGAAAACGTTACAGTCCATTGCGTGGTTGTGAAGGGTTGATCGCGCTCCACTCCCTAAATATTCCCAGATGTGTTTGCCCGACAGTTCCTTGTGCTCAAACCCCACATTCCTCGATTGTGTGACCGACACGTTCATGCAATCCAGTGCGGTTCAAGGCTAAGCAATGTTCACCCAGCTCATCGTGAACCTGCCTTACAGACTCAGTACGGTTGGGTGTCGAAGAACTGGGGGTCAGGCCCCTAGCCTAGGCCTAGGCCGTTAAAAAATCATATCTTTTAAACACTAGTTATACGCAGTTGACTGTGTCACTGTCAGTTTAGTCACCGCATTGGTATACGACTCGCACAGTGCTTGGTGAAATCCTTTTGTAGCCTGTATGTTCTTCGGCACTCCGTTCTTACTCCTACTCCTAGGTCCTAGGAACCAGACAGTACTGTGTCTGGCATGGGCGAATCTCGCCACTAGTTGCTAAGTACACGTACAATGACACAGTGTACATGACGGTACTAGGCGAGCTAAATACGGTCGAGTGACAGAGTTACTCTCTGGGTATCATGACTAAAATAATGGTGTTCGGCGCTGGCTTGTGCACGTACAGTTGAACTTTCACTTTCGCAAGTCATAGTCGCGGATGAATCAACGACATGTTGGCAGCACACAATAGATGATAGATATGGCGGAGCTGCGCAGTGTACAACAACTATGACAGTATGAGCACAATGAGCTAGTCCCCGACACTACAGTACAGACCCGTAGCACGAAGCTTGTTGGATAGCATATCAAACCTTCACTCTGCGGTGGCGACCCGTATACTAATGGTAGTGGCACTGCTCCGCGCATTTGACAGAGGCGCAACTGTTTCATGCGGTCGGATTTCTCTGGCCAGAAGTGCATGCTACTTCTACTAACTTTTAATTGTAGTACATGTATTGGACTCACTATTGATTCAAGCTCCACAAAATATGAGAACAGGAAGGAAACACAGGCACGCAACACAGTCAGAAGGACAAAAGTCACAAAACCCAATAGTCAATACTAGTCACGTGTCCATGTACTTCAACTAGTATCAGTTTTAGCACCGCTTAGCACTGGTGCAGATCTCCTTGCCAGGAACAATTGTTTGTAACTCGCACTTTGTTATTCGTGCGCAGCGACAGCATGATGATGTACAGACAGTACATGTCATGACTGTGGGTTCTGCAGGAGTGTATAGGAGCTGTGTGTGATGAAGTAATGTTTCAACTGGCGGCGCAGGCAAGTAATTAGTCAGTATGACAGTCATTGTAAGTTTCAGGTGCTAAAAGAGTGACGTGATCGCGTCCATAGCCTCATAGGTGCCACGAGTGGCTCGCCAACATCTTCATCACGGTATCTATCTATTGCGGCGGCGAGAGATGGAACCAAGTCACAAGTCAACCCACAAGCTTAGGAGGAACCCCACTGAGCTGAGGCAGCGCGAACGCATCCATGAGTAGAGTGCCTCGTAAGCATTGTTCGGGACCACAATGTCGAGCGATAACTACAACAGTTACTACAAGAGTACAATGTCATGTACTTCAGTAGTTGATCGATGTTCCAAGTCCTCCGTCTGTTCAAGACCATAGGGGATTCAAGAGAAGCGCTGAGGAGCGGGACAGCGGGACAGAGGGAAAGGGACAGGAAGAGAGCTGCACGGTCCAGTACTGTACTCTGGACCGGTGTGCTCGTCAATTATTTAGGCTAGAAAGATGGATGGCGCGGCAATCCTCCGGCTTGGAGTGTTTCTTCTGGCTGTAGTCCCGCTTATGATGTAAGTAATCATGACACATGCACACACACAGGCACATACACGCACACACACATACTGACAAACACACTCACACATACTGACACACGTGCGCACACACGCACACGCACACATCCTGTGTTGCACTCTTCTTTTAAACACCATTGATTTCTTCTCTAAAAACCGTTTCGCAGTGTCAAAAAAAGATGTGAATAGAACACATGTTGCCGACATAATACCATGATGAACAAATGAAATAGAACATGCGAAAAAAATTTAAAAGGCGGCGAGGTGACAACAGTTTAAGGATCGCAGTAAACAGAATCAGCTGAAGCGTCATTTCACGAAGGTTTTATTGAGACGTCACGAACAAATTCCAGAGAAAGTGGTGATGGAGAAAGAAATACGTGTACATGTAACTATGATGTAACTATGATGTAACTATGATGTAACTATGATGTAACTATGATGTAACTATGATGGAAATGTAATGTGAAGAACAATAATAGGAAAAGATGAAAAATATAAAAATGCATCGAACTAACTTTCGCGCAACGCTCAACAGGAAGCATCGTTGTGCTGATTAACAAATTGCAACACAGATCATTATAAAGAATGAATACATGTAGTGCTAAATAACACCTAAGCAATGCCAACAAAGTATCACAAGGCATTCTTGCAAGATACCATGTGCGTGAAAGATAACAATCAAACACTCAAAGGCTTTCTCTAGAATTTGTTTGTGGCATCTGGATAAAACCATCGTGAAATGACGCCTCGGCTGATTCTGTTTATTGCCATGGAAAAAATTCAAACTCGGACGGAGAGCCAAGGATAAACATTTTCAAAAAAAGAGAGGACCAAACGTTTACAAGTTATCCGTTTTGCATCACATCACATCAGTCAATTTTGTGCTACATGTACATGTAATTGTTGCACATTTGGACTCATCGATGTCCTGCTTAAAATCGTTAGTGTTGGGTCAAAAACTGATACATGTAACTTGTAAACTTTTGGTCTTCTCTTAAAAAAAATCAAAAAACTCTTTTCCTCGATGGTCGTCATTAACATTGGATAGTGAGTGAGAGAACATACCAATGATTAGAATTACATCATTCAGATGTACAGTAAAGCCGGGGGGTTAGCGACCTCTGGGTTTAGCAACCACCTGCTCTTAGCGACCGCTTTTCCATGCACCGGCAGTTCTACACAGACACTGTGGGACCTGGTTCTAAAGACCACCTGGCTTTAACGACCGCTTTTTGCTTGCACCGCGGGGTGGTCGCTTAAACCAGGTTCTACTGTATGTGCAACAATGTCCAGGTTTTTTATTTTTTATTTTTATTTTTTTACGAAAGTCCACTATATTCCCGAATATGTGCGAGAAGTAGGTTGAAATAACAATGTCCTAATCGACTCCTTCTCTCCTACCCGTATGCTCTTTTCATGCAGTCAAGGATTCGTGAACCCGCCGGTTATGACCCCTCATGACAATCCTTACTACGGTCAAATCATTTGCCATTTCAAAAACTCCCCAACCTCGGCCGTAGTGCAGCAGGTGTTCAACTACGGCCAGATGGTCCTGTTCCGCACCGACTTCAACCCCAGCGATCAGCATTATCTGCCAAATATGGACTGCCTGGTCACGTGGTCTGTGCGACCAGGCTGCTGGGTGGACGTGGAGTTCATCGGCGGGTTTAAGCAGCGGCCGGAGGCGCCGTGCGGCGATCACGCGCTCTTCCTCACCTCGTCGATTCCCGGTGACGAGCAGCACGTCCAGCTCCACAGGTACTGTGGCGTCGGTAGCGCCCATAGCGGGGACGAGATCATAGCTCTCAGAACCAATCTCACCTCGCTGGTAATGACGATCAGCACTGACAACGACACCGAGACTATAGGCGCCGTTGTAGCGCTGTATGAACGATGCGATGCGGATGGTGAGTTCTTTAATGCCATTGTAATACTTTTTTTAAAATAATTTATTGTAACATGGAAATTGTGAGCACAAGTTATGGGATCGAGTCCACCAACTAAACCAGATTTTGAACAGTCAAACGTGCACAATCCAGCACAAAACTGACAAGCTGACAAGGCCCACAATTTCCATGTTACAATTTGTTTTCCTTGGCTCACCATCTGAGTTATTTAAAATCTATTATACATCAGCACTCGGCCGAAGGTCGGGAATTGTCACCCATCGGGCTAGCAGCCAACAGCCAAAGCTGGGGCAAAACATAATATAATACATAATATGGATATTAGAAATACACTCATACCTCGTTTATCCGGGCAGTCCGGGACCTTGCACTGCCCGTAACTTTGAAATGTCCGTAACTCCGAATCATATACATCTTGATGGGGAAAAGGCCATCGATATGGCATATGACGTCAATATTTCTACGAAAAGTGACAAAAGAGTAGTAATATTTCCCCTGAAACTCGCCCAAATAGTGCCCGGTAGACCGAAGTGCCCGTAACTTCGGGGTCCGGATAACCGAGGTATGAGTGTATGATGGTAGGTAAACAACAGAGGGAAAGACACAACACTTTAAAAAAAAGGGGGAAGCATACCCGAAAAAAGAAGGACAATATGTTACGAGTTATGACTAACTGTCCACCAACGTAACCAGATCTTATACAGTCAGCGAGTGAGACAAAATGGCACAAAACTGACGCCGAAAAAACCAAATTTCCACCAGTTGTAGTCTTCGGGATGCTAAGTCGAATGGTCTTAGTCCAAAGAAGCTGAGACGCTCCCTACCTCCTGTATTCCCAATCAAACTCGCGCACTTCCACCGAAACTGGGTGACTGCGCCCTACTAGATAGGGATTTGTATGCAAAAGTCATTAAAAACGCCGTTTCGTTCTTATAAAAGCACGGATGACCGCGATTGGTCCATATGTTGTAGTCTTTTGGCCGTTGAGTCGATTGGTTTCGGTCCGAAAAGGCTGCCATACAGTGTTCGGCCCTTATTCCCAATCGAAAACGGTTGAGTAAGCGGTCACGTGCTCATGCGTACACCAGTCATCTGGTCATTGTGCCCTCAGGCTACAATTTACAGCCTGTTTCGGCCCATTCCTGTCACTCCAGTTGAACCTTCGAAACAGGGAGTTGTAAACGCCTCCTATGACTCACTGCTTTGAACCTTTGAGTTGAACCTTGGTGTGAAAATTGTAGCCTGCAGGCACGGTGACTAGGTAACTGATGCACGCATGAGCACGTGACCGCTTACTCAACCGTGTTCGATTGGGAGTAAGGGCCGAACACTGTATAGCAGCCTTTTCGGACCAAAACCAGTCGACTCAGCAGCCAAAAGACTACAATATATGGACCAATCGCAGTCATCCGTGCTTTTATAAGAACGAAACGGCGTTATAGTGACTTTTGCATACAAATCCCTATCTAGTAGGGCACAGTCACCCAGTTTCGGTGGAAGTGCGCGAGTTCGATTGGGAATAAAGGAGGAAGGGAGCGTCTCAGCTTCCTCGGACCAAGACCATTCAACTCAACACGCCGAAGACTACAACTGGTGAAAATTTGATGTTAGGGTATACTTCCCCTTTAGACATCGATCATAGGAAAATAATGCGAGAGGGTTTGGAGGAAACTAGGACCAAAAGAACTCCGCCATCCACCCAGAGCATTACAAAGGGGGGGGGGGGGGGAGGGGTGTAGCTGCCGAGCCAAGGAGAGCATTCTTTTGCAATTCAAACACAGAGAAGTAGCTGGTGATACAAATGGTGTCAAGGTATCCCAGCGACTGTTTGCAAACAGTGCCCAAAGTCCCAACTACCACAGGAACAATCTGAGTCTCAACTTGCCATAGCCAATGGATTTCGCGAGCAAGGCAAGAAGTTGATACTTGGCACGTTTCTCAACTTCCTTTTCAGCAACACGTGGATCACTAGGTACAGCAATGTCAATGATCAGGTCCTTCTTGGCAGGTCTGTGGTGACTTCGTACATGCGTTTTGTGTATATAAATCGTTTTTCGTAAAACTAGCCGCTGTGTATATATTTCGCATGGAAAGACATAAACTTTCTCTTTGGCCCCAACTTCGTTGTGGTCTGGTTGGCCACTGTAGCCGTCATGGTTGACGTAAAGCACCATAGGCCCATCAAGCAGAACAATAGCAGGCCATCCATGCTCAATGAAGCAATCGCACAGGATGGTGCACTCCTAGAGAATATTGATCTTCTGGTACTGCGGAGAGATGTTGGTGTCTGAAGGCAACTAGCAACGATTTCTTGAGCAAATTGATTTTGGTGTATTTTCCTGCTGACCGATTTCGGAACACTGCAGTCACCTTTCGCAGTGTAATGGTTACCATGGTTACACAAGTTGTATTTGAATGCTGTAGAGGCACCAGGACATCGATTTTCGGCGAATTCACCATGAAAATTGCATATTCCGCGAAAAGATCTATGATTTCTTCAAAATCATTGTTTTCGGCGAATGTTTCGGCCGGCCGATTTGAGAAATGCTCATTGTAGCTTTGGGACCAGACGGAACCTAGAAGGTGCTGACAAGTAATAGTTTCTCACTTCAAAGTGAAGTGTTTTTCACTACACGTGCCACACATACTGAGAGCACTTGGGTCTTTCTGCCGCCGCCGCCTCCCCCCCCCCCCCCGGGATACTAACGTTGCAACCACGGTCAGTTTCTGGAACGCACTACCAGAGGCAAAAGAAAGCTCTAATCCTATACCATAATCTTGAGCCTTCCAAGCTGGACTGCTGGTGGTTTGCACACTGGAGATGTGTTAGAGCTAGGCCTCAGGTCGTTGAATGTTATACAAATTGCAGCCCCTGCTCAGTAGCTGTTTGTTTTTGTCCACATAATTATTTATTTTACGAGTTGGGTTTGTGAATAATAGTAAAAAAAATTGAGGTCCAGAATTGACTTTTAAAGTGGCTAGTAGCCCATAGCTGGTTGATATTGAACGAGGCCTTCAATTGGATCATGCGAGGGGAGACCATGGGCAATTCAACAGGTTATGGTTCGGCTTGCGCAAGTCTGGTTTCCAACAGTCCCGTCCTAGCATGAAAAAAAATCACGGTTTTCGCATGAGACGCGGTGTATCTATACAGAGGGCGAGTTTTTTTTTTTTTTTTTTTTTTTTAATGAATACCACAGTACCATCAGATGCTGCACAGCGGGGGCGGTGGCATATTGGATGGAAGTGGGGGCGGGGCAAAAGTAACTCCTCCGACCAAAGGTCTCGGAATCGTTGTTACTCCTGTGCGCCGTGTCCGTGTCTGTAGGAACGCCACCACCCTTCAAGGATCAAAGCATGGTACTGGTGTTCTTAATGCTGTCAGAGTTGTTGTCCCGGTCAATGTGTTTCCTTTTGCAGCGACTCAATCACAACTGTGTTGACGTCACTACGTGATTAATGTTTCAAAACGTGTTGGTACCAATGCAACTACACTACACTGTAAGCGCAAGCGTGATCTTTTAAACATTTTGTTCCTGTTGCCTGCACTGCTCTACATTTTGCACTCTTGCTGGCTCTTTTCGCAGCCCAACATACGTATTACAGCCACAGTCGGAGGCGGCGACGAGGAATTGAAAGCACTGAAAGCACTGACAGCACCGAGCCTGCCCCGACGGGTATACCCGGCTGTGATTGCAAGGTAAGACTAGGAGCACGTTCGATTGGTTGGATCTGAATCCAGATCGATCGGATCCACTCGATACTAGTGCACGTTCGTTTCAACAAATCTGGATCCAGATCCAACGGATTCGGATCCGATCAACCCTACTCCGTGAGCAGGGTTGACCGGCTCCACCGGATTCTTTTTTGCCAAAAATCGTACTCTAGCTCTAAACGTGATGTGTGCACAAATGGCAAGAAATAGTACTAAGAACCAGGGAATGGAATCAGATCTTAAACAAATCTTATAAAATTATGTCCTTCTCCTTTTTTACCATAAAAAACTTGTACTCCAGGATAAGATTGCCGTAATTTGTATACTTGTGTAGGTAGGGGTACGACATCATGTTCTGTGATTTCACGTCTGCCGTGTGTTTGAGAATGCCCAGGACCTGAGCCTGTACCAGTGTCCGCACATCAACGAGATCGTCCATGACATCGGAGCTCATCCGACCAATCAGAACCTGGAGAAGCGGCTCTGCGACGTTCTGAGCTTAGACGCCTGCTTCCTGCACACGTACGGTCACACTTCCGGTGTGCTCGGACCAGACTGTAAATATTGAGTCACTCCCATATGCCGCACAACGTTCGCGCAACAAGTCACAGTAGAATTTGGTCAAGCAGTGGCAGTCAGAATCCAGCAAATCGAATTATTGCCAGGTCGTTGAATGTCTCAATATCCTTGTCAGTTTTGTGTCTTGCTGTCGCACTATCTGACTGTATATTATTTCGTTACCTTGGTAGACTGTTAGTCAAAACTAGTAACTTATTGCTCCTTCCTGTTCTGTAGTACATTATTCCGTTAAGACTCATTTCGGAGCGTGTTGACAGACTGTCCTCAAGCTGATTTGCGAGTTGCGGCCCAAGTTCAGTACTAGTTTTTCACATGCTTTGAAGCCTTTTTTTAGCGCAAAGTTTGCAAAGCGACAACTCTACTCTATCTAACTGTATCGACCATGGCATGCACTGCTGAGAGCGCCAAGCGCTGGTTTCGCCGATGTGCCAGAACATTGTGTTCTCCGCGCGGAGAGTGCGAGAAAGATCAGTCACGTCTGATGGCTGCCATTTCATTGGCATCATTATCCCCGTTGTGTTCATCTCACTTTGTCTCAAGCTCTGGACAGAGAAATAGAACCCTCCAATGATTGCCAATTACCTATTGCTGTTGTGTCTGAGCAACCACTAGTTATTACAAGTATTGATAGTTTAGAACAAAGAACATAAACATCTCCTGGCTTTGGGCCAGTCGTAGAGAGGTTGAGATGCACGTTATTTCCGACGTGACACGCATTTTCACGTCACATTTGGCGTAAAACTCCAGATTTCGACGTGAGCGCGGGGCCGAGCTGCACGTACGGTACGTGCAGGTCACTCGCGTTGTTTTCGACTCGCTATCGCTAGCCAAATCACGCGAGCTAAACTTTCGCGTCACGTCAGAAATAACGTGCATCTAACCTCAGGCTCTCGAGTCTAGTATTTCCAAATAAATATAGCCACAGCCACGACTGCATGTACATATGTACATGACCTTTCATTGCCTTCTCTTCACTTTGATACTGGCAGAAAAGAAACCTATCGCTATAACTAATATCAAGAGTCCATAACCCAAGAGTATGCAACTGTGATCTCTTTTCTATGGGCCAACCGCGCGGCGCGCTGCCTTCATTACATCATTCAGCTGCAGTCCGCGCACTGCGGAAAATCAAACACCGCAATTTCCCTCTAGTTTGAAATGAACTTTCGTACGGAACTGGAGTTCACGCGCCAGAATTCAGAGATTGTGAAGGTACTGGAACGAATCGAGCAAAAACGGATGGGCTCGTGCGAGAAATTGAGAGTTTGAATGCATGCTTTCAGAGCGTGATGAAGGCAAGTTACGTAATGAAGGCAGCGCGCCACGCATGCACCCATAACCACAGTTGCATACTCTTGGGTTATGGACTCTTGCTAATAAAATGTATGGCAATGGAAACACTTGTGGACATAGTTGGACCTGATGCCTGTCTGGGAGGAGTCTGAGGGCCTACACAGTCATTGCATTCTGTTCTTCAGGCTGATTACGCTGACTGTGTCTCCCTGAAAAATACTTGAAAACGTACACTATTACAGTAGTAATGTATTGGGGATAATACGGTGTGTGCTGGGATTGCCTGGCATCCTTAGGCAGAAACCGGGGAGAGTGAAAACTGAAAAGTGAAGACCTCACCAGAGGAATATTGTCCATAGCCAGTACAAGTACTTTCTTGCACAACACAGGCCGACGCTTGACACGTTTCATGGAAACAGGTGTGTGCGTATGCGCGCGTGCGTGTGTGCGTGTACACACACATGCGCAGGTTTGTTGGTTGCAAGTGCAAGAATGACGTGCGGTGCAATACTGATACAGTAGTACAATCATGTATGTCATGTACATATACAGTGGTCCCTCTGTAATCCGGCACCATTTGTGCCAGGGAAATTCTGCTGGATTAGGAAGGGTGCTGGATTAACAAATCTGATCTAATGCCACAATGTGCATGAAGAGGACATTTTGGCTACTGAAAACTGTGCTGGTTTATCGAGGGTGCTGGTTTATAAAGTGCTGGATTACAGAGGGACGACTGTACCATGACTTGAAAGACCTACAGACAACGTCAGATTGAAGTGACTAGTGATAGGACGAAGAAGTCTGCAACGACTGATACGGAACGCCGCTGAAATATCGCGAATTGATCTTGTGCCGATTCTGGAAGATTTCCTCGTGGACGAAGTGCAGAAGGTTTTTATTGGTCGACAGGACCTTCGCCGAAAAGAACTCGACCATTTTGACGTGGAAAACCGCGTTGACAACGAGCAGCACAAACGCAATGACTTTACGTATTTCCTCGCCGTCGCTCTGCCCCGTGCTGGTGGTCGTCGGTATTTTGGTCCCTGACGGCATGCGCTTGAGCACGATGAACACGGAGAGGGAGAGGAACGTCGTGAAGTGGATCGCGGCAAAGACAAACAAGCTCAGCTTGTACAGAAATCGCGGCACGGAGCTGCTCAGATTCGGTTTCAGATCGGGGGTGTAGTTCAGAATACACATCAGGATGAACACGGACAATTTCAACAGAACCCAGATGATGGAAACGACGATGTTGAACGAGTCTGCGATCTCCACCGGTCGCTGGTAATTGCTCAGGGCAAACTGCCAAACTTCGTACGTTATCGCCATTGTCATTACTATCAGAAAGGTCCAGAAGTGGTGCAGCTTGTTGAGACGGCTGAAGATACTGGATCTGGCCACAGGCTCTGCAGATTTCGATACGCGTTGCGCATACACACACACACACACGCGCACACACACACACACGCACACACACACACACACATACTCACTCAAACACACACGTAAAACACACACGCAGACACAAAATACATACACTCTCAAAATTTATATATTTAAAATTAAACCCGTCCATCTTCCACAATACACATCACACCTAAATGTACAGTCATGTGTGCTCAAGCGAGCACACACACGTAGGCCATTGCGGTCCAAATTGCGGATAATGCCGGCAGAAAAATTGGCAGAATTCGGTACTTTTTCTGGTAAGTTCCCTGCATGTTTGGTATGTGGATAAAGAAATGGAGCAGAATTCGAGGAATTTCCCGCCATAAGGTCTGTATGGTTCTGCCAATTTCACTGCTTTTCGAGCAGAATCTGCCACCTTTTCGCGCATTATCCGCCAATGCATACACACACGCAGATTCACACACGAACGCGCGCACACACACACACACACACACACACACACACACACACACACACACACACACACACACACACACACACACACACACACACACATACTGAAGGTGTAACCCCCATCCACATTGTACTGGATTGAGAATTTAAAATGCCTGTTTGCTCAGGATGGGTTCGGCTCGGCCAAGCATATACCGGTACACGTACTTACTATCAAAGATCCACATGTATTTCGTCACCATGATCAGCGAGAAGCACACGTGACCTAGCCACGAGCACTGATAGGCTGTTGTTATGGTACCCGCATTGGTCACCAGTCCTGTGGTGATGTTGGTACAGTCCAGGCCCGACTTGATATTCTGCAGCTGACATCGACTATTGACGATCAAATGCAGCACCAGCGACGCTATGAGGAACCCCAGCGAGCAGGCGTAAAGGATGGTCACGAATGTGGCCTTCCTGCCCAGTGGCAGAGTCACTGGTGCAGCCGCCGTGTCCGGCTCGGCCGTTAGCGTCTCCTCCACAATGATCTGAGATCCTATGCGCACAGAAGGCATAGGGTACATAGTACAGTATGTAGTATTCCTGACTGTCGCTATCACACACCGTCCTAGTTACATTGTAGTTCACAGGTACTTCGAAGTATGTGCATTGAGCAGGCTGGCAGACACAACACATAGACAGAAGAATAAGCAGAAGTTGCTGCTTTTAAAATAACTCTGAGTTTCACGAACTGAAGCGATCATCAGACGAAAATTGATACCGACCGTGCCCCGAGAGTACTGTTATAATTATACAATGAATGTGGCATGCCCAGCGTAACAATGACGATGACATACATGTACTTCTTTGACAAAGTGTCTGTAGTCTTTGCTGCAAACAGTGCTCAATACCTCAAAAAGGAGCAGAGCTTACCACACCGGGCAGAACACGAGAACGATTTTTGGTCTCTGTTGTTCTGCCCTGTGTACTTCTTTGAAGTATATCGCGCGATATGGAGTGTATGAGAAAGTAGAGTATTAAATACTTAATCTGGGAAGTACACAAACCCAACTCGGTGAAGCAGATAGAGCGGAGAGATGAACAGAAGGTCACTGTGAGCCTACATTCACACTGATCTTACAACAGCACTTACTTTCTTCACAAAGGGATTCGTCACCTTGGTGATCCTGATCATCAAACTCTTCACACCCCATCTTGTATGCTCTCGGCTTAGGGGTGGCAACCCTAGCATTTTTATTAACGGCCGGGCTTATGACTTGAGGCTGGCGAATGTTGCCAGGTGGCATTGCACTCAGTAGACCATAGCCAGGCCCGGTTTCATCATGTCGTCTCGTCGGCATTGCGACATGGCTCGGTGGCGAGTAGCCGGGTTTACGCGGCTCTGGTGGTGCCGGTGGCTCGCGCTGAGGAGCCGAGCTTTCCGGAGTCGCATACTCGTGTAGCTCGATGCGCTCCTGCGCTCCGGGAAGGCGCGGCAGTGGGCGGCGGCGTGGCCTGGAGCCGCTACCGCTCGTCCAACCGTGGCCCAGGAGTGGTTCTCTGATGTTGGTGGTGCGTTTGGCATGGCGATGTCGGATTGGTGGTGATGGCGGAGCTCTCAGCGGTCGGTAGGGTACTCGCGTGCGCGGCGGAAGAGCAGGAGGTTTGCAGCTGGGTTCGGGCATCATACCATTATCCTCCATGGCCTACGTGTATATGGACAAGCAATCAGCAGGCAGAACGCACCTGCACTCCGGTGAGAAAAGCCTCTGGTTTTGGTTTGCCACTTGACGATGCCCTGTGCAAGGAAATTAAACACAAGAACAATTAAACGTACTGTAAAACCTGGAACTAACGACCATCCCTGGGGGCCAGAGAATGCGGTCTTTAGTGGCAGGTGGTCCTTAGTTAGAGGTTTCCACAGCACAATCTTATACATGTATGAGTGTGAGACAGTCCGTGCCTGGCGAAGTGGTCTGTGGTACCAGGCTGGTCGCTAGTCACGGCGTCTTTAGTTACAGGTTTCATTGTGCCACATTCTGCACACGCTAGAAACAAAATCATTCTCTAATAAAATTGACGTTCTGAGTTCGTCTTTAACGGCCGACATGAGGTCGAGTACCTTCTAAGTTACGACGGTATATGAACAAAACGAGAGAGAGAGAGAGAGAGAGAGAGAGAGAGAGAGAGAGAGAGAGACAGAGAGAGAGAGAGAGAGAGAGAGAGAGAGAGAGAGAGAGAGAGAGATAGAGAGAGAGAGATAGAGAGAGAGAGACAGAGAGAGAGACAGAGAGAGAGAGAGAGAGAGAGAGAGAGAGAGAGAGAGAGAGAGAGAGAGAGAGAGAGAGAGAGAGAGAGAGAGAGAGAGAGAGAGAGAGAGAGAGAGAGAGAGAGAGAGAGAGAGAGAGAGAGAGAGAGAGAAAGAGAGAGAGAGAGAGAGAGAGAGAGAGAGAGAGAGAGAGAGAGAGAGAGAGAGAGAGAGGGAGGGAGAGAGAGAGGGAGAGAGAGAGAGAGAGAGAGAGAGAGAGAGAGAGAGTGTGTGTGAGAGAGAGAGAGAGAGAGAGAGAGAGAGAGAGAGAGAGAGAGAGAGAGAGAGGGAGAGAGAGAGAGAGAGAGGGAGAGAGAGAGAGGGAGAGACTCAGAGAGAGAGAGAGACAGAGAGAGAGAGACAGAGAGAAAGAGAGAGAGACAGAGAGAGACAGAGGGAGAGACAGAGAGAGACAGAGAGGGACAGAGAGAGAGAAAGAGACAGAGAGAGACACACACACAGAAAAAGACAGAGGGAGAGAGAGACAGAGAGAGAAATGGAGAGAGAATGAAAGAAAAAGAAAGAGAGAGAACAGACAACAAACACACAACTTACAATACAGTACTCAAGTACTGGGAAAGAATGACAGATAAAGTCGCGCGAGCTTTTTCCACCACGGTTTAAGCTATGCAAATCTAATCTACCATCACAGACCCCTGCTGGCGCCGCCAGCCAATCATACACTACCCACAAGCACCAGAATGGAACCCTCACCCAAGTGCCTGTACAGTAAAACCTGTAACTAAAGACCACCTTGACTAGCGACCAGCTTGGTACTAAAGACCACTTCGCCAGGCAACGACAGTCTCACATTCATTATAATGGTAGTGTGGTGCAAACCTCCAACTAAGGACCACCTGCCACTAAAGACCGCATTCTCTGGCCCCAAGGGGTGGTCGTTAGTCACAGGTTTCACTGTACACGAATTTACCCACGGCTCAAGCTCAGCGTGACATTCATCAAGCCAACACCTAAAGCATACCGCCACTGTCAGGATCACTGGCGCATCCGCACCTCTATTCCGTGTACGAGCAAGGTATATCATCTGGCCCATTAGTATTACTAAAATTATTGTCAATCTCCAAGCCAATTTCAAATTTGTGATATTGGATTTTTTCAATTTTTTTATTCCATTTCACATTTTTCATTCGTGTTGGGTTTAACTGCTCACTGTACTGATACATGGTGATGATTGTGCTTTGCTTTGCCTGTAAAAGAGGCCTTCCATACCTTGGCGGCATGCCCTTCTTCAGCCCTCAGGATCTCTCCCTGCAACAGGTCTTTACATTGGTGCCGCCAATTCTATACAGTTCATCCAGTTACTCACCTCGGCTTTTCGATACTTGAGTGTCAGTGGAAATACGCAGAGTGCCAGGCTGTTGTGCGCGACACGTCACACGACGTAACTGTTACTGGCGAGAAAGCAGGACAGCACCTCGGTGTTGGTTTGAAGACCTACATGTATCTCCTGCTCTCGAGTTCTCTGTATGGTTTTGCTGAGTTCCCTGTCAAGCAGAAGGCCAATTTGGGTGTGTGAAGCCAGCACTACTAGCCAAACTTTCTATCTACTCACTGCTAATGCGATACTATTCCAATGCTGTCAGACCAAATCGGTCCCTACATCATCTCGTCCTGACAGGCCCTCAATCTCGGTTCGTGATGCAACTGGAAGGGAAAAGTTGAAAACGTCAACCGGTCATTTCAGCCATGTCAAGATCAGGTCGACATGCAATTGCTCATTTTGTGTACTACCAGTAATGTACTGGTTTGCCTATGCAGTGCCATCTGCTAGTCTTGAGGAACAGGCGTGTGGTTTCCAGACGCACCTTTTTTATCTGCTAGTCTTGAGGAACAGGCGTGTGGTTTCCAGACGCACCTTTTTTTCGCGTGCGAGATAATGTTTTGTTTAAAACTGTGGAATGTTACGCGTATACGACACTGTATGAGTATTCGGAAAGGCATTTTATCAACCCCGAACAGCATCATGATCAAAAGCAGATCCAGCTGCGACCGTGGTGGAAGAGCGAAAAGGTCACTAACATTATTGTAGGATGATCAACTAGACTTGAACATTTATGGACTCCGAGCAGCTACATTGTACACATGGTACAGGTACGTCAGAAAGAAAGTGCTCTTTATACAGTACGGGTGTGTGCGTGCGTGTATGTGTGTGCGTGTGTGTGTGTGCGTGCGTGTGTGTACATGGTGTGAGGTTCAGTAGAAAATTCGCTTCATTCGCACACGGTTATTATTACAGTGCGATCAAGTTGGTCAAGCACAGCCGGGACGCTGTGCAGCCCTAGATCCGCAAACACCGGTATGTGAACTGACACAGGGCGCAGACTAGGCATTGGCGGATAATGCTCGAAGAGGTGGCAGATTCTGCTCGAAAAGCAGTGAAATTGGCAGAACCATACAAACCTTATGGCGGGCAATTCCTCGAATTCTGCTCCATTTCTTTATCCACATACCAAACATGCATGAAACTTACCAGAAAAAGTACCGAATTCTGCCAATTTTTCTGCCGGCATTATCCGCATATGCCTAGCGCAGACTTTACCCATGGGCACAGGATAGCACTGTACTGCTAGCGCCTTGAGTGATGAACTCACGTTATATTTGTACTTGTACATGTAGAGTCTGCATGACGTCTGACGGACGAACACGCACCCTTTTCATCTTCGGCAACACGCCATGTTTGGAATGTCCAAGTAAGAAAACACTAATCTATAACCAGTATAAGTATGATGATTGCGTTGTCTTACCGGAGGATGCACCCAGTGTGCGGTGTTGCCTGATGATTGCGGAAGCATGGAACTCTAAGTAGCGACATACACTACATGTACAAGCCTTGATTGTTTTTCTGTGTAATGCGTTGTCTTATAATGCTTCACTAGTTTGAGGGAAAGAGACAAACGGGAAAAGTCTGAAGAAAAATTGACTGTCACCACCAGGATTCGAACCAGGGACCCTCGCTTGTAGCTAGCGATGCTCTAACCACTGAGCTATGGTGTAGTCGTCATCCCAGCAGAGACTGTTCAACATTTTCCTCAGACTTCGTAACTCACACTTCCTGTGAATCCACACAGGCGGGTGGGACGCAGCCCTCACTGTACCCACACACTTCACGTACACTCTAGCACGCGGGGAGCCCCTTATAATGCTAGAAAAGACTAGTATTCTTTTTCCCGCAGCTCTATCTGTAACATATTCAGTTACCTTCGGTTACTTCTTTCACTTGTGATTTTCTCCTCCTCCCTCCCTATTACTATAATTATTAGATTTGTCATGTCGCTCACATGTATTTAGAAAAGCGATCCTGTCAGCTTTTCTATTATTGTGTTCACATGGCAGAAAAAACGACATCGCTATGCTACGTAAGTTTCTACGTAAGTTGCTCGGTATTTCACTTAGGCTACGTAAGTCTCTACGTAAGGTGCTCGGTATTAGATCTACCAACGCGTGGTAGCCGTGTGCTGTGCACGTGCACGGCAGACATTGTGTTCAGTGCATGCAGTCCGCGGATCCGTGTTCGGATGTGCATGCGCGAGGAACTTCCTTCTTTGGAACTGCTTCTTGCATGAGCTGTTTCGGATATTTCGTCTCATGGTCTGGCTTATTTCTTTTCGGCGCTGCTGAGACCTCCTTTCGCGGAACATTACCCAATGACAGGTGAGTTGACCAGTTGCCTTTGATTCATTTGCTTGTGTTGACTCTTTCATTCAGGAAAAGTGTGCTGATTTTGGGGCGGAATGCAATAAATAAGGGAAAAGTTGACAGGATCTCTTTTCTAAATTTTGCTCTTCTGCTGCCGAGCTGCGAGGCCTCCTTTTACGGAATACTCGATGACAGGTGATCTCTAAGTTGACCGGTTTCCTTCGATTCATTTGCTTATGTTCACCTTTCATTTACGGAAACGTGTGCTGATTTTATTCGGATTTAGATCCATTTTTATCTCTTTGCCCTTGTCTACAGGGTGCGAAGAACGCGAGTTCGGTAAGGCTTATGTTAGATGTGTTGTCGAAATACTCATATTCATTGTACATTGGTACGTTACAAGTAAGGCACTGGTCAGTGGCATACTATCGTTGGCAGTTCCCAATCTGGAGGGAAAGGTTCAAGTACCAATTGACCGAGTTTGCAAAATAAATTCGCATATCAGGGGAAATCTCCATTGTGGAGAGGTTCAGTAACTTGTTTGTTTCATACGAAACAAGCCAATGGGTGCAGTCTCGTCTCGTGAAAATCTCGTACTTGTATGATTGGATTTGTTTACTCAAGTCTGGGCTGATTTGTGAATACCGCCGAGATTGCGCTGCCCCAAATAAAGTTTCGTGCCGCCAAAGCAAGAATTACGATCTGCAATCTGTTTGTAGTACCTATAAGAATGTGGAGTACATGTATCGTACTTTCTCTGTTGCTGTTTCAGTTGCCGTCATGTAGAAAGGTTCAGTAGAGAGGTTCTGCAAAACGAAAATTCGAACGACGTTTCGCGACAGTCCTTGCGAAAGTGTGTGCGAATTTTTGCACGAACTTTGCGTTCTGCACATTTTCGTAGTTTGCGCGGGCCAAGTGCACGTACGCCATGACCCGATCTCACGAAATTTCCTACGACAGTTCATTTCGCGTTCCCTGCAAGTTTCGCGTCCAAAGGTGCGAAGTTTCGCACTTCATGATGTAGAGCGAAAGTTTCTACGCATTTTCGTTTTGCAGAATCTCTCCAGTGACTCAATTGTTTCGTACGAGACGAGTCAATGAGTCGGTGTGGCTTAGAATCTTTCGCTGTAGAAGAAATATATTCGTATGTCTATTGGAGATATAATTGTATTCTCTGGTTATAAAATAGGTTAAGCTCACAGAATAAATACCATCCATCGGTCCCTTGGTGTTCGTCCTAAAGAGGTTCGACTGGATATCATTCATACTCACCAAAAGATGTGTAAGATTTTATTATTGTGGAGTGCCTTGTTTATCTCTCAGTACCTCCAACCATAGCCTTGCCCCTTTTCTCCTCAGGATCAGTGTAGTTGTTGGAACGAGGTTTTGGACTCAGCAATGTATTCGTTTACATTTTAATACATGTTTATTGTTCCTCCTTTGCTGTGTTGTTTTAGACAATCGTGGACTAACAGTTTGAAGTCATTGAACTACTTCCAAAAGTTGTATCGACATCAACAGGATTACGATTTCAGTTTCAATATGATGCTGGATGACCTTATCACGATAACCCATGACTATAAACCATTATAAACACAGAATCAACAAAAAACATCTGTGACACGCACCTGGCGCATGGCTACATTTCTCAAATAAATCTGATTGAGGGTGGAGAAATCTGAAAGGCAAGACAATTTTATGACAGAGTCATAAAATTCTGCAACAGCAACATGCACAGAATGACCTCCGTATAAAAAAAGTATCACCGCCACTGCTCACATGTTTCCCCGCAGAAGAACATGCATTATTCCCTCCAGAAACTTGCGGAGACATTTCGTAAATATCGCGGAAAAAGTTGCGAGGTAAAACGCCACAAATTGCGGGGAATAATGCGGATTTTGTCAAATATTGCGGGATTATTGTGGTAAAATTTCGGAAATTGCGGCCGATTTGGTACTTGTAGTTGAACTGTAGTGGTGTGCGATGTACGAGTCGTACAGCATGAATCATGCATGACAAAACAGAACGTGTGCTGCGCTGACTGTGTTCAACTGCCTGACAGGAGCTTGCAAGACAGCTTTCCTCCATCCTCGGACAACACTCGACGCGAGCCTTATTTTGTGACTTGTCAGCCGCTGATTTGCCCAGAAACTTCTCCATTCTGGTGTCGATCTCACAAGTAAACTACTGACGAGCTTCAAGAACTAAACAACATCGAAGAAAGACTCGAATATCGCGGTTGCTTTTGGAAATATCGCGGTGCTTTTCAAGTATCAAGGACAGTTTTCTACAATAACGCGGATGATTTTTCAAATATCGCGGATATCACGGACTTTTGTTCAAATCGCGGAAAACAACGCGGCCGCGGAATCGCAAGTTCCTGGAGGGACAGAAATTATGCTAGTGCCATTTTCTGCAAGAAAAGGCTTGCACATCAATGCGTATATATATTATGGTATTGATATGATGTGAAGGCCATCATTTACATATTGATATAGGGCATTCCATTGATTGGTGGCAGAAAAAAACAAAAGAAATTATAGCAATAAAAACTGCTTTATGGCAGTTTTCTAAAAAAAGTTATTGTGTTCTAGTCCATGGACCCCGTCTAAAAAGTAAGAAATTAACGAAATGTGATAGCTGAAAATTAAAATTTCACACAAAACCTCACAATAATCACACACAGAATGAAAAGCTACATGCAGAAGACCTTTTCCCCTCGTGATCCTCTTTCCTATGCATGCATGTTGCCAATTGTTGGTGCAGTACAAGTTTAGTGTTGAAAGCAGCATTTCAAGTGTTGTGATTATTGTGAGGTTTTGTGTGAAATTTTAATTTTCAGCTATCACATTTCGTTAATTTCTTACTTTTTAGACGGGGTCCATGGACTAGAACACAATAACTTTTTTTAGAAAACTGCCATAAAGCAGTTTTTATTGCTATAATAAAAATGGAGGCGCCATCGCCTGCATGTGTTGCAACAACAAGTATGCTATTCTGTAGTCGTGATCTCAACTGACATCGTGCACTCCATGTATTTCCTTCAGACATCGAAAAATTTACGTCGAAGTACTCTCCTTGTGAAACTACACACAGGCTGCCAAAACATGATGCATCCTACACAAGTACCAGACCGTGATGTATCAATACAATAGAGAGTTAATGTTTCAGGGTTTTTTTAAATTTTTCGAACGTGAGAAGAAATGTGCATGCGTTGAATCGCTTTTTGTCACCGTGAGTTGGCCCTCTCTCGCGTTGAAATCTCACGTTGCAACATGAGGAGCGCCAATTTGGCCGTGAGATCTCACGTTCGAAATTGAAAAAACAAACAAAACGTAAAGCATAAACTTTCTTATCGTGCAGACCTCTGAGGTCCGATCACACCTGCATAATCCAGTATTTGACGGTTAACACTAACTAACCAGCAGTCAACACTCCTGCGCTGCTGAGGAGGGTGGCGCGTTCATCGCAGTCTGGGCAAAGCAAAACAATGTCAATGAATCTCCGCTCCGTCACCAACCATTGTTATGATGACCAAACACGCTGTGACGGACACTCCAATCTCAAGTAGTGGGTCGTTCGTCTGTAGTGTAGCGGCTCCCACCAGGCTAGCTAACTAACTAACTAACTATTACTTGCACACTAGCCATGGTCATCGATTCAGAATAGACGTCGAGTTCATTCTATTGTCGATCATGCATTTCTCCTGTTTGTGTCATAGACTCAGGTACACTGTTCGGATGCGATGTCCATTTCAGTGCAACAGTTTTAAGTGCCAATTGGCGTTACCCCCCCCCCCCCCCGAACACAAACAAACACACGCTAAATAACAAAAAAGATAAGACGTTAAAATGATTCTGTAAGCTGTCCATTCAATGTGCATTACAACAAGTGAGCTTTGCTCATGCACCACTACAGTCATGTCATGTACAGTCAACTTCGCTAATAACGACTGCGGATATAACGACAATTCGCGAATAACGACATAGTTTTCATGCCCGGAGCAAAGTCCCAACCAACTGTGACACATATAATGAGACTTCGGATAATAACGACACCTTATTATTATTATTATTATTATTATTCCACAATCACGATGACATAGTGCCAATAAGCATGTGATGCGGGCGATTTTAACCAGCCATGGTGGGGACAACTGAGAAAAAGAAGGAGAAGAAAAAGAGAAAAGAAAAGAAAACAAAAGAAGTACTATAGGAACCTGGAGAGAGCAGTAGGAAGATTAGGCTAGCAATGGAAAACGACGAATTCAATTCAATTCAACTTAGGCGCGAGCAGAATGGAACAAAATGCAGCGAAGGTGTCACGAGACTTTACCTCCTGCGGAAGCCGAGACCAATGAGAATAGGACTTGAACAGAGGGGATTTTAAAAGGATCGATGATCTGGCAAGTGGGAAATGGAGAGAACATCTAGTACGCGAGCTATTATTGAACCAGCTTAAATGCGCAAGTGCATGAGGAGGAGAAAGTTGAAGCTTAATACGGTGAATGAATTTGCATGCCGAGTGGGGAAAGCGTTCTGAGAGAGGGGAAGAGGAAGCCAAAATGTATAGCGTCTGAGAGGAGGTCAGAGGGGGCATGCGAAATATTAATCGAAGTAATTTACGGTGGGTGACTTCTAACCGATGCATAAGAGCGGAGGATAGACCGGAGGACCAAACGAGGGAGCAGTAATCAAACAAAGGAAGAACATAAGAGTGATAAATTTGTATTCGACAACCATGGTGTAGATGGGAGATGTGAGGAGAAATGCAGCCTATCGCGGAGCAAACTCGCTTTTCAATATAGGTTACGTGCGAATCCCAGGACAAGTGTTCATCAAGAAATATACCAAGGTGTTTGTAATTTTTAACAATGTTGATAGCAATGGGATCATCAGGGAAAGTAAAAAGCCGAGTCGTAAAGAGGGTGAGGTCACTGGAGGGTCGTGGGTTCTTCGCGAATAAGGACACTTTTCTGATGCCCCGCCGAGTGTCGTTATAAGCGAAGTTGACTGTATTTGTAGATCACCTCTCACGGGGCGCTTTGGTACAGCGCAAGCACACGTCGTATCCTGGCACAGCGCAGATACCCTGGCACAGTGAGACGTGATCAATTGGGCGAGTCCTACCTGGAGATATCCCAAAAACTGCTGACACAAGCTCTGTGTTGTAAAAGTAACAAAAATAGCTTTGTTGTGCATGGCGTGAACACCACAAAGCTAGTCTATTTTGTTGCATCACCCTTTCGTGGACAACAGCACGTACAACGGAAAGACAAGCAAGGCATTTTGGAAGTACATGTGTTTTGGGATCATCACTGGATTAGCGTAGAATCTACTGGGCTTCTACACAATTGCTCTCATCATGAGGTTCTATTTTCAATCACTCCGTAGCAACACTTCACAGATGTATAAACACGTACATGTACATGTCGATTCTATACGTACCCATCCTAAGGCTGCTATGACTTCATCGTACATGTGTAGCTATGCTTACTTGGCTGGGGGGGGGGGGGGGAGGGGGGGGCGCTTTCTCAGCCTCCAGGGGAGGGGAGGGCTACGGGGGCTTACTCAGCCTCCAGAGAAGGCATAGCGAGGAGGGGTGAAGCACATGGCTTTACCGTGTTAAACTCCTTCGCTACTCATGCCTATTTGCACATTCTCGTCCACGGTGCTGGTCATGGTCCTCATGTGGTATGTAGTGTACATGTACATGTACAACTGTAATGGCTTCCGTGAAAGGTTGAAGCCCGACTACACACAGTGGCAGTTCCCCAGTCTAACTCGTTCTTGGCCTTAGTAAGAGCGGATTATGTCGAACAAAGACTGGACACCAGTGTAACGTTTGAACGAAGACATTGTTGTTGAACATCACGAGGTCCATTAGCAGCAAACCGTCGGGAAATCCATTATTGCCGATAACTTCAGCTGAAGCTGACCAGTCGATCAGAGTATGGCCTCTGGAAACTTTGGAAAGTGTCTAAGCTGCGCCGAATCGCTGGCATTGCTGACCATTGTCAGTGTGATTCTACCAGCGTGAGTACTAGCGCATGCATGTGTACATGTACATGTATGTCAATACGCACTGCACTGACTGTCCTTAAAGCTTTGTAATTGTTCTTATCAAGTCTTGCTCTAGTATGTAGTTTATTTTGCCCGTAAAAGAGGCCTACCAAGAAAAAATACATGTATGTCAAAGAACCTTACTGAAATATCCATAAAGAACTCAGATGGTGAGCCAAGGAAAAAGTTGTAGCATGGAAAAATGTGAGCACAAGTTATGCAATCGCGTCCACCAACCAAACAAGATTTTGAACAGTCAGACGTGCACAATCTAGCACAAAACTGACAAAGAGTGCTGAGACATTCCACGGCATGAAAGTCAGCTTGAGCACCACTCCATAGCGCTAACCAATGGCCTTCTCACTTGAGAAGGTTCATGGATATTAGTGCTGATTACATGAAGAATGTTTTTTGAAAGATGAATCCACAGTCAACGCAGGCCACACACACTACTATTATTGATCGCAGTTACTAGTATCAAAGAAGATCACTAGTATCCTTCCCATAGAGAAACTATACATCGGTGAGTACTAGCCCTTTCTCAAAGATGCCATAATGTTTCGCAACTTATGCTTTTCGCAACCGTGCCAAAACAAGTGCAAGTTGCTGAAATCGCATCAATATTTTCAGAAAAAGCTCAAAAGTTGCTAATATCGCAACTTAAAATTGGAGAGTTCTTGTCCAAAACTAACCAAGAATGAGCAGACAACAGGAAACTATGAAGAATATAAGAATGCATCGAACTAGCTTTCGCACAACGCTCACAGTCAGGAAGCATCGTTGTACTGATTAACAAATTGCAACACAGATCATTATAAAGGATGGATACATGTAGTGAAGTAGTGCTAAATAACACAAGAAAAGGACGTACATGTACACGTACGTACATGTACGTACGTGTACATGTACGTACATGTACGTACGTGTACATGTACGTACGTGTACATGTACGTGCAAGATTAAAAATTAAAAGCAACACAATGATGAGAAAACAAGAGGGGTAAACACAAAAACGTTATCAAAGCTGTTGACTCACGCATACACACATACACACACCACACACACACACACACACACACACACACACACACACACACACACACACACACACACACACACACACACACACACACACACACACACACACACACACACACAATATAACAATGATACTCAGTGCCTAGACTGCAGGAGTTGCAAAGAAAGTTAAATCAATGCAGCCTCCGCGTTTGCGAGGACAGCAGACTGATCATTGACGCGGCGCATCCGCCGGGCAACGCGAAGGCAGGCAATACTTGCACGCAGGAGACCAAAACCAAGACGACAACGCAGCAACGCCATCACCATTGCGAATGGCTCTCCGGATTTCTCTGCAGACAGAGCAGCAATTCGCTTGAGAAGAGCGGAAGCAGCTCGACCGGCTCCACCTGTGGCTGAGAATACGACAGGTACGAAGGAGGCTCGCTCAACTTCTTGCACCCTCTGACCATACCTGCGACGCTGTACATGTACGTACATGTACACGTACGTACATGAAGACCAATTCCCTTACCAACCACGGACTTCAAATACTGTAGATCTGAGAGTTTTTCTCCTTGAATTCATGTTCTTATGTTGCCCGACTACCTGCGAAACCTGTCTAAGGCGACCTTCAAAACCTGGTCTCTGTTCCTGGTGGTCTCCTTATCCAGGGTCATTTGACTGGAAATCGCATTCCTTGGTGCTGGTTTCGGTGGTCTTCTAGGACAGGTGGTCGCCTTATCCGAGTGGTCGCCTTGACAGGTTTAACTGTACTGCCGTTTGCTACCTAATCAGCTAGTCCACATCAGCATTTCCCTTTCCAACCACTGACTTCAATTACTACAGTATTGGGTGCGCCGATCTGAGAGTGTTTCTCCTTGAATTCATGCTCTTACATGTACATGTACATGTATGTTGCCCGACTACCTGTGTACAATCATGTGTGTTCAGCGTGAAACTCCCAGTTGCAACCGACCATTCTGGCTTCTGTTTCCGAGAGGCAGCCCCTGGCGGATACTGCTCGAAAAGCAGTGAAATTGGCAGAATCATACAAACCTTATGGCGCGCATTTCCTTGAATTCTGCTCACCTTTCGTTATCCACTCACCAAACATGCGTGAAACGTACCAGAAAAGTACCAAATTATGCCTATTTTCTGCGGGCATTGTCCGCCAGAGACTACAGAGAGGCCTAAACCCAGGCATCGAGCACTGTTTGAGCAGTGTATATCGACTGCATGTTACATTCAATGAAGTTCGTGAGTTGCGGATGGCAGGCGAAGTAAAGAAAGAGAAGTCGAAAAATTACACGGTCACATGATAAATCAATAATAATAATAATTTGTGTTTCAATTTGACTCCATGTCTCCAGCTCGTCGGTTATCTACACCACGCAAACGATGCACAGCGGTCAGAGCTACTGCTACGACCTGAACAACTACACCACCATCTATTCGTCCGCGTCCGGAGCGTGCGCCAGCAATGCGTTCCGTGTGGCGGTCGATCCGTCGACGGGCAGATACTATCCCAACATGCGCTGCATTTTCAGCTTCACCGTGAGACCGTTCTGCACGATCCTCGTGGACTACTCCGCCTGTCCGCTGTACCAAAACGCTTCTAAGTGGTGCGCCGATGAAGCTTTGCTGACCTCCAACCACACAGGAAATGTTTCACTATTCAGGTTCTGCGGCGGCCGCACGGAGATGGTGGAGCGTCAGGGTGTCGTCTTCCATACAAACATGCGGAACGTCGTTATCACGATCACCACAGATGCTACGGGAGAAAGTCGCCTGTGTGCTGGTTCGGCATTCGAAGTTTGCCCTGGTAAGACTGCAAAGATACACGCATCTCCACTCTCACTCTATCCTAATTACATCAGTCCCCAATTTCATTTATTACTGCTTTCTATCTGCATTCGCCACCTTTTCATTCGGCAGATCTGCCCGTTTTGTTTGGGAATTAAAATAAACACAACAACAACAACAACTTAGGCTGTCACTGTTGCATACATTTTGTGTACGTATTTCTGCGATGTTGGCTGCTTGTGAATTTGACCGTGTGTCACTCTCCAGTGAGTTAGCCTTCCTTTGTCAAATGAGCCTTACCCCCCCCCCCCCGTCTGTCCATACGCTTCTCCATCCATCCGTATATCTGCCCACCGGTACATTATGTCCGTATGTCCGTCCGTACATGGGTCCGTCTGTCGGTCTAACCACGGGTCTGTCTGTCCGTGATGATGCAGGACAGTTGGTTATCCGGTCCTAGAAACTGACTCCACCCCCCCCCCCCCCACCACGTGACAACACACACACACACACACACACACACACACACACACACACACACACACACACACACACGCACACACACACACACACACACACACACACACACACACACACACACACACACACACACACACACACACATCTTGCACGGTTTTCCTTTGTTTTCTCCTGCCTCTTCTTTTCAGAAAACCGTCGGCAACTCGTCTATCAAGCTAATCTCGACTATGTAACGGATTTGCTTGGTTGGGGCTTCTACGAAAGACGGAAGCGTGATCTGCAGTCCAACTCCCACAAATCGCCAAGCCAAACCAAGCCATCTGTCCAGCACACTGATAAAAGGTTAGTCGTGTTACCCCGTATGGAGGGAGAAGTACAACAATTCTGTCCCTGAGTTTGAATGAGAATAGTGGGGGTGTCAACGAGTAGTAGGGTACCCGTGCTACCCATAATTTGATCAGGTAGTAGGGTAGCAATTTGCCCCTGAGAACCCGATCGGGTGATTGGAGTACGGTGGTTTTGCAACAGTGCATGTAAAAAGCACGGTTGTATTATTAATGTACACTTTCTACATGTATGTAGCGCAAGTGCACAGTGACAGTACAAGCTGGGTCAGAAAATACCCCCAGCTATCCGGATAAAATACCCGGACCCGTTACCCGGCCAAGCCCCTACCCGTTGCAGGCCTAATAAATAGTCTGAACTAAAGTTGACTGTCACCACCAACTTTTTGTACACATCTACATGTAGGCATATGGATAGGCCCCGGCGGATAATGCTAGTTATTTTTGGCAATTATGTAACTAGCACTGCTAGTGAAAGTGGCACATTATGCTAGTTTTAATGCTCGTTATGCTCGTTATGCTCAATTTAATTAATGCCACTTTATATGGGGTCAAAAAGATCTGTTACCACCCTAACAGCAACACCATTAACAGCTGCACAGTCTCGGACCAAGGCAAGAACCGTGTGGCTTGGAACTTGCAGCTGTGTTGACAAAACTGTGATGAGCTCTCGAGCTAGTTCGGTACCAGCTAGGCTTTTGGACAGTACAGAGAAACGTACAAGGCGTTGGTGTATGTTGAAATCGCCATCGACGTAGCGGAGGACAACAGCAAGTGCCTCACCAAGGCGTGAAGTACCATCGAAAATAACAGTGAGATGAGCTGCAGATGCAATCTCCTTCTCGATGGTAGACTGCTCATTCTGCAACAGGAATGGCACCAAATGTGCCATGTGAGTGCTGTACGTCATGCGACAGTAGTTGCTTTCAAGCAACGGACGGAGGCGGTCTATCTTACTCAGAGGCACACCTGCTTTGAGGAAAGACTCTACAACGTTGGCTCTTCGAATGAGGACATCATTGGCTACATCACCAGATAGCCCTGTTCCTGCCAGCTCCTTCTTATGGTCTGTAGTGTACTTCTCCCACGAAGCTGTTAGCGCTTGCTGGTGTAGCTGGGCTCGTGACTTTCGCTCTTTGGCCGTCTTGTGATTTGGCTCGAAATGTGTGATTTCACAATGCTGTTCCTCGGTTGAACTGTCTGGCTGCAAGCACTGCAGTAAATCTTCCCACTGGACATGGTCAAATATTCCCCTGGAAATTGCTGCACGCGATGGTGGACGCTGCCACGAGGTGTCAATGTGGAACTTCCACCGGCAATTCGCCCACGCTAAGCGACGGACTCTTTACCACTTCTCTGGAAAGATCGTTTTCGGGAAATCGCTGCTCTGGCTAGTTCGGGAAGACGTTCACACGCTGTCCTGGCCTCGCCCTCTTCAGACTCTGATTCTGAGGCGTCTTCATCGTCAAACTCGGAATCAAAGTGATCATCGCTACTGCTTACTAGATCAACAATGTCTCTGGCTGCTTGCTCGGACATAGCCATGACGTGTGTTCTTCATCAGCTAACAAAGAATAATAAGCGGCAAACGTTGGTGGAAACAAAACGCTCCCATTCTCACCGCCTTCTCATGTACACCCATCACAAGTTTTTTTCCCAACGCTTGTGCCCAGACTCCCAGCCAGAGTCATAGATCTACTACAAGTTCAAGTAGTAGAGGGCTAGACATTGAAGACTTGAAGTGAACCAGTGTTTTCGGATGCGAACACAGTTGAAAATCCCATGTTTTGCAACAATATGCTAGTTTTCTGCAAAACCTGCTGATTATGCTAGTGCAATGCTAGTTTCCAGAAAGTGCTAAATATGCTAGATATAATGCTAGCATTATCCGCCGGGGCCTACATATGGACATTTACCTTGCTCGTAAAAAAGGCCACTACCCCGGAAAAAACATAAAACGCATAATTCTACTTCCACGTGCATGTACAGTACTCATTCTCCGGCCGGACAGCTACCTGTGGCTGTTTCGAACTTGTTAGGTCTCCTTAGCGGACCAGAGTTACTGACCTACTTATAATTAGAACGATGTCTGTCTCGCTGTCCAGGAGACGACCAATGCGTGACGTTCCCGCCAAGGGTCTTATCAGAGTTTAATTTAAAGCCCGCTCAATCGTAATTTTACTACTCTGTGATGACGCGTCGAGGGCCTTGGATTAGTTTGAAGCCCGCTGAATATTCTCCAAACAGATCTTTGGGAAGGGAGCACTTATATTTTGTATCTACATATATTTTTACATTGCAAGTCAAACGGACAGTCGTGCCCAATGTTACGATGACGACGGAAAGGGAGAAATACATTGCCGTGAATAGCGCAGTATTACCTGTGCATGGCGTGATATTGACAGGATTGAGCAACATAGTTTCTCCAGAACTAGCTTACTGATTCATGCTATCGCGATCTCCGTACACGCAGTTACTATCCCAGTGAAAAATATTAATTTTATGATGTATTTTAACAGCGTCAGGTCATGCCAACTCCTTACCAAATTTGAGGTGCGACAGCTACGGCGTTTGATGTCAAAATAGCAACATGTACTACTGTGTGTGGTCTGTGTGTTCTCCAGCTTTTGAAAAGCAACGTGTTCGCGTATGGTAGTTGCTGACAACGACGGGCAAGCACTTGCTGAGAATGACCTGTCAAGACACAACAGTCACGGGACATTGTCTGAAAGCCATTCTATGCTGACAACGCCTTGCCGTGAGGCCTAACTAAGGCCGCACAAGCTACATGTACATGTATAACTAATAAATTATTATTTTTTAGACATCTACATTTGAGATGGGCGACCTTTCCTAAACCTTACCTACATGTACGTTGTAAGTTTGGACGACTATATTCTCCTACTTACTCTGTGTGCAACCTCACTCATATTCACGCAAGTGTAGACCAGTGTAGTGTATTGGTACTGATCTCTCTGTCTCTCTCTCTCTCGTAATTGATTTGTGATTTTTTGTAATTTATTTATTTCTGGATTCCCCAGAGACTGGAAGGCCAGTCGAGAGGGTCTCCATATCAGCATAGAAACGTGATTGACGGATATAAAGGGAGGGGCGAGAGTGAAAAAGAATAATGTAAAACTGAGAAAACGAAGATATTTGGGTTGTGTCTCCCTCAGCCTCGCTCTCTCTCTCTATCTCTCCCTTTGTGTATGTGACTTAAGGTTGTGTCTCTTTGCCTCTCTCAATGTCTGTGCCTGTCTCTGGCATTCCATGTACTTTCGGGCAGCAGGCACGAATACGTATGGCGTGAAACAGTCAAATTAAAAGGCCGGTGATGCCCATGATTTTCCTTGTTCGGGGTCTTGTGGGGTGACTTAAGGGAACGTGTCATAAGCGCATACCCACACCGGCTATCCAACAAAACACTCTCATGAGTATGTTTCAAGTCCAGTACTACAAAGTAACACGGCGACAATGCGGTACTAGTTTATAATATCGTTACTCTGTCAATTGTGATATGTTGCTAAAGCCTTTTCACCCGGCCTTCTCATCAATAGGTACATGGGCATTTAACAGGGTCAGGACCATCCAATGGGGGTAATGCGCTTACACCATCAGTTTAGTTTAGTTTCATTAGGCCCCATTCACACACGGTACAAAACCGCATGCAAGCATCATGTTCTTTGAAGTGGGCATGGAAACATGCGCGAAAAGTGAAAAATCACATCAACGTTCAAAGCCATCCCGGAGCGGCTTTGAAGGCGGCTTTGAAAGCGGATTTCGGCTTTTAGTTTTCAGGCAAGTCGAAACAAGTGGTTTGGTGTGTCGAGTGCGCAGAGTTTTTGTTAGTTTTTGGAGAGTCCGGTAGTACCATGCCTCGAGTTGTCTTTTCTGCCGAGGCGGAGCTACGGCTGATAGAACTATGGGGAAAATACAAGCGAGAAAAGTGAAACTATGATGAAAAGAGCTGTTGCCGAGAAGAGGATTGCAGATGAGCTGAATCTGTGCACAAAGCAGCTACCCGGAGTGATCAGGAAATGATATACACGGCCTACCCACGGCCGCTATCGTTCACAACTCCAGCACACTCAGAGGAATACACCAGTTGTGGAGGCGTTTCACCGAGATTTATTATTATTATTATTATTATTATTATATATTTGAGGATTTCCCAAAGACGTAGTCTAAATTGAAGGGAGTTCCATTATAATGGGAGGCTGTAGGGTTGAGATAGCAGACAGTGGAGGGCTAATAATTCGTAATGAACAGCCTAGCAAGAGAAATACAATTATGCTGAATGTTCCAGAATGGTCCTTTAATCAATGATACAGTCAAATCTGCCGTTAGCGACCCCTGCTGTAGGCGACCATCTACCGTTAGCGACCGATTGTCCGTGCACCGACGGTTTCACATACAAACTGATCTGTCCAGAGCGACCATCTGCTGTGCGCGACCAGCGACCGCGATTTCATGCACGGTGGCTGCATTCAAATCTGCTGTAAGCGACCGCGACCCAGGTTCAGGTGCGAAACTGTACTTGCCAGTGCGCTGTAAACTGCAAAGTGTGAAAATGCGCTGTCTTGCAAGTGCGATCGACTGGCGCCTGGCCTGTAGGCTAGGCTGTACTGAGGCTGTGCTGTAGCTCTCAAGTCCAGGCGCTAGGCAGTGTCGATCTACTGCCGTGTCGCATACGCGTAATACGGGTATGGTCGTCGTTGAATATCCAATAAAATGATATTAAAAATCACATTATTCTCGTCGATTTGAGTACATGGAAGCATATACCTGGTATGCCGGATTTACCATACATCTGCCGTAAGAGACCATCTGCCGTAAGCGACCGCTTTTTCTTGCACCAAGGGGCGGTCGCTTACAACAGATTTGACTGTACCTATAACCTCGGGATATGCCTTGAAATACGAAATGTACCGAAACAGAAACACAAAAATTAATAAGAATAAGCGCAACGCACAAAGAAGGAGGACAGAGGCATGTCAGTGAGGAGTGGCATTGTGTTTGGTGTCAGAGAAGTGCGTGCAAATGTGACTGTGAAACAGGGACTGCGAGGCTGTGGCTCTCAGGTCTGCGGGCAAGGCATTCCAGACAGTAGCGGTGCGGAAGAGAAATGACCTCCCGGCGTGTTTCCCAACCCGTGGCAGAGTGAATGCGAGTTGGCGGCGGCGACTACGCGTGGGGCAGTATCCCGCTGCTTCAAAAAGTTCTGGTTGGGTGGTGACCAAATGGAAGAATTCCATAAGGCAGGCGATCTTCCTGCGCCAGGATAGACTTGGCCACCCCAGCTGTTTAAACAATGATGACTTGGGCTCGTCTGATGGGCAAGGGCATCTCTCAAGCCGCATGACTGTGCGAGCTACTCTGGCTTGCAGCCGTTCAAGGGTGAGCCGCTGTGCAGCAGAGAGGGAGGACTCCCATACTGGGGCGGCGTATTCTGCTGTGGGGCGGACATACGTAAGGTACAGCTTCCTGACGATGTCTCCTGTTAAACGGTCAGCCATATGGCACAGAAGAACGCAGCGCTGTCTAAACTTGCTTATTGTCTGTTCAATATGCTCCTGGAAGCTAAGTGTTTCACTCAACAACTCTCCCAGGTGACGGTGACTGGTTGACGGCTGGATACCGCGGATGGTCTCTGCAGCTCCTTCCTGAGATCATACTAGCGGACCAAGAAATAGTATTTTTGAAATGTTTAGCCGTACCGGTGCGCTCAGCTCATGCAGAAATCAAAATATTTTAATTCCGCTATCGTTCACAACTCCAGCACACTCATGTACTCAGAGGAATACACCAGTTGTGGAGGCGTTCCACCAAGATCATACTAGCGGACCAAGAAATAGTATTTTTGAAATGTTTAGCCGTACCGGTACGGTGCGCTCAGCTCATGCAGAAATCAAAATTCCGGCTCTTCGCTATGGGAGTATGGGTCACTTTTTATGTGTTTGGCATGCACTGCATTTGACTGTGTGAATGCACAGGCGTTGCAAGTGGCTTGTACCGTCATGTAAACGCGAATTTTTGTACCGTGTGTGAATTACAGCCACAAGGAGGATAAATTTAGCTGTGCGATTTTGTATGAGTATAACGTACTTCAAGTAAAAACGCTGAAGATAGGGCACACAACGCATGTCGACAAATGGGAAATGTTTACAGCTGGGACAACCAATGATCACTTTGCGTGGTGATTGCAAGGTTTTTATAGCCAACGAAGGCTAGCAAGAAAAAGAAAAAAGAAGCCGCCGAAAAGGAAAAGGAAAAGAAGAGAATATGAACTAAAATTAAGGTCTAAAACAAGGCTTTCCTATAGTCAATGTAGAAAGGCCCTTTGTCTCCTGGTGCAGCAAAAGCCACTGCGAGTAACCATTGAACAGGGTGAGTGTTGCGATGCAGAGGATCGGGCTAGAGGACGGGAGAGTTGATTCCTAGTGGAGCTGTCCCGTCGAAACCAGTCAAAATTGTTGGAAGGTTGTTGGTTTGCGCCTCGTAGATGTGTTGGAGGTACTATACAGTCATGTACGATGTACATGTACATGTACATGTAGGTGTCAGGTTGTTGAATGTCTCAGTCCGCCTTCTCAGTTTTGTGCCCTGTTGGCACACTTGCTTACTGTCTTTTTGTTATGTATATCGGTGGACAGTTGGTCAGAACTCCTACAACTTTACAAGTACAAACATGTTGCCCTTCCCTTATTTATCCAAGAATACATTGGCTCAGCATCCGAGTACAGTATATCACTCAGGCTGACTATTGCTACGATACATATACATACATGTACATGTATATGTCGAGAGTGATCGATTCACCAGAAGCCTCCAGCCCGGATTTCAAGGCAGGCCTCTGGTGCACGATTTGCTGTTCGACCTTACACATGTAAAATATTATTATAATTATGTTTACCAACACCTTGTGGTGTTTACCAACACCTAAAGTCCTGACCAGAGAAATCCAAAAACATGAATTTAATAGCGCCGGGCGCTACGCAGCCCTAGCACTGCAAACACTGTTCTGTGCACTCGAACGCGGCGCTACTCTTAGGTTACGTTTGGTTGGTCACATTCCCAAATGGGAATCACTTGGAATCACTCGGAATCATTCTCGCCCGTTTGGTTGGTCAAAAAAGTGCGTTAGGTTGGTCACATTCCACCTGATTCCAGAATGGGAATCGCTGAGAATGATTCTTTTTGGAGAATGATCATTCCACCTCATATGCTGGAATGAGCATTCTCATTCCGGAATCAAAAATGATAATGGCTGCCACGAGCCAAACAATGTAGCAACAGGTTCAAGTGCCTCAAATCCTGCACTCAGAAGTACCATGACTCTCTCAAGGAACTAGAGTCGGGTAAAAGAAAAGACAGCCGCCGTTCCACAACGACATCATGGAATTGTTATGTCAAGTGATTCCTAATTGATTCTGGCGCGTTAGTTTGGTCAGGGGATTCTTGCCGATTCCCATTCCAGAATGGTTGTCATTTACATTCTGAAAATGCCCAACCAAACGCAACCTTAGGCTGAGGTTGGATTTCTCTGCCCAGGACTCGTCGGTTGTACATTTCCGTGTTGTACTACTACTAGTACATCATGTACATGCACTCCCTTTTTACCACCATACGGCAGGGTCACAGGTTCCACCTCCACGGCCCATGTTCCACTTCACGGACAGCTTTGGCCAGCGAATCCCGAGCCTCGTTGTGGAATACCCCCACCGCCACCGGACAGGTCTCTGCGTTTTACATGTAAATCTGATCCACACGCAGATGTGACTGGCAGTGGCAACTAACTAACTATTTTACTTGACAAGCCCTCTAGCTCTAGCCGTCTAGGTCATACAGGCCGAAACCCATCCGAGGACTGCTGCCGTGCTGGGGCCGCATAAGCCTTGGCGCTGCTTTCGGTCCTTGGGCCTGGGTCGAATTTCTTTGGCCTAGATCTTACTACCCGCTGACACCCATGGCTGTGCCTCCTGTCCGCCATACACACGAGTGCTAAACTGAACTCTCAAAAGAGGCAGCGCCGCGCGTCCTGCGGCCTTCCATGCTTGGCGCGTGTAGATCATCATCTACTGTACATGTACATGTACATTGTACCTGCAGGAAAGTTTCGTGGCTTGGCCGCCGAGAAAGTAAGTTATGCCTGGTTCACACTAGGCCGATTTTCCGGCCGATACGGACTTCTACGAAAATCCTCAAGATCGGGGCGAAAATTGCCTATTGTGGACGGTTTTGTCGTACAGGTTTCCGGCAGATCTGCGGCGATTTTCTTGTCGCACTAGTTTTCGGCCAAGTATCAACTGGTCGATATTTAGCCGAAAAGCCGGCCAATTATTATTTTTAGTGCTTGCACGTGATGGAGCGGGCATCGGGCCAATCATTGTAGGCTTTTCACCATGACAGCGGAGAGCGTCGGTGCAGACCGTGAACTGGCTGCACTGGATCGCTACTACAAAATACGCTAGCCTTTTGATTGATTTTATTTGGATTCGCGAGACCAAACGAGCAGGAGTGCTCAATAACAGGGTAGCGAATGGTTGAGTTGTGCTATGTGACAATGTAGTGTGTGCGTGGGGTGGTGGTGGGGGGGGGGGGGGGGGGGTGGGGAGCTGCGGAGGCCTAATACAATGTAAGGGGATGGGAGGAGAGAAGGCCAGAGGAGAGCCTTTTCATGCAGTTGGCCTTGTAGCTCGTGTAAAAACTATCTCATTTCCGCTGTCTAGCGTCTACTGCGTCTGCGGTCTAGCGCTGCTGTGTAGATCTACTAGTACTACGTTGAGGTGTGTAACAAACAAGCCTACAAGTACAACTATTACAAGCCAACGTTATGTGTGAACAGCTAGCTAGTCCGACTCATCCGACACAGTCGGTCGATTTCTTGTCGGAGTCGGTGTGGGAGCATCGGCCGGATAATCGGCCTAGTGTGAACCAGGCATAAGTTTATGGCGAGCACCGCAGATCTCTATTTCAATGTGCAAAGGACGCTCTGAAGCTCGATCCTCCTATCAACAACAGTTCCTACTACTAGTAATAGTATCCTGCATACTCTCTGTAGACAGGTCTGCGATTGTTTACCGAGTAAATCTACAATCCGTCAATCGTCCACTGTGCATGTGGCCGTGGGTGAGAGCAGCTTCAACAACTCACTTTTTTTGTTACTTCGTAGCACTTCAGTCGGCACATTATGTACATCTCCATCTACATGTAGATGGTCTCCGTAGCTACATTGTAGATCTAGTGTTACAAAATCTAGGGCAAGCGGCGCTCCAGCGTCGCTCCAGCGTGGAGCGGGCGAGGTCATCGGCTCGATCGAGTGACCGTTCTTGAAGCTTTCCTTTGGCTTTGCAGCTCGAGTCGGGGTCGGGAGGTTCATTGGTCACCCAGGCCAAGACACAGACCAAGCATGTCAGCGGAAGTCCCATGCAGGCTAGATTTTGCATGCCGTAGATCTACATGATTGTACTGACTGTACATGTAGACTGCAATCATGTACATACCATGCATGTACCAGGCTGTCCACTAGCGACGACTCGCGTCGTTGTCGTCTGCTATTTCTTTCTGCAGGGTAGCAGTGCATGGTCCATGGAGCTACATGTGTACTTCCGTAGTGTTACCTGTGGCTGTATGTCGGCTGGAGCGCTGGGGTCATTGCCATAGCTACGACCCCAGGTGGGAAAGAAGGATGAACATTGAATCTAACATTTGTTTTACATAAAACTGGAACAGGCAACTTTCTTTAATTTAGGGGTGAAAGTTGGCACTGAGATCCCGAGTTCGAGTACTGTACTCTGATTTTCTCCGATCGAATATTCGAGTATTCTTCATCTCCTTAAAATTGCACACCGTGGGCCTTAATTGCACACCGAGGGCCTTAAAATCACATGGTACAACCCTGATTGAACCGAGTGGCAGTCATTTTTCTCTGGTATATTGGTTGCTGGGTCATTTGGGCTCTCTCTACTCGTGAACAAATGTTCACCACCAGTCTGCACGTCAATATCTGCCGAATGCTGCTCTGAAACTGCAGATTTCTGTGGTAAATGCATGTACCACGTATGAACGAGTACTCTGATTTATTCCGAGTACGATTATTTCTGAAAAAACCGAGCGAGTACTCGAGTATTCGGTATAATTGTTTCACCCCTACTTTAATTTAATATACATGTATAACTAGCTGTACATGTATAACGGTTTGTAACAATAATCAATGTGTACATGTACATGTACATGTACAACAGGCAATGACTGTAATGATCAACCAGTGGTGAGAGCCTGTGGAAGCCGGCTACAAAAAAAGTCATGGCGCTTCCTTCCAATGTGCTAAGCTGTGGAATGATTTACACCCTCTAGCTCGCTGTGTGGATAACTCCGCCCGTTTTAAGAAACTGTTACCCCAATGCGTTGCTTTTTCACGCTATTACTTATGCACCAATCCAATAGTCTATTACTATTATAGTATTATATTAATTATTCATATCTTTTTGCGTCTTTCCCTCGAGTGGGTCTATTGTTATTAGACAATTGTCTGTTATAGTCACCACTATAAATAAAATCCAATCCAGTCCAATCCAAAAACGTGCACCTCGTTTGCTCGTCGCAGATCGCACAAGTCTACTGGCCACTGCACAGTGCAGGACCACTGCACTACAGGAAACGTTTCGGATTGGAGACCTACTACCCTACATGATTGTACCGGTATTAGATAGAACAAAAATGTTTCCTTGGACTTGGAGATAAAAATGCTACAGATCTTAGAAGGAGGACACCGTCTTCAGGTTCTTCACCAGCAACATTTTAAATTTGTGAAAGTAGTAATTATCGACCACGAGGCCCCAGTGTTCGAGTGAGGAGTGAAAACGGTTGACATCTTTTGGATCACATGAAGCAAGTGGCAGCAGCGAGTAGCCCTTGGTGGATTATGCTGGCATGATGTCTGGCATAATCGGATTAATCCGCCAAGAGCTATTACATTTTGTACTGAGTTCAACATACCATTATATTGGACCGCAGCATAGCATAGCACCATCATTGGCATAATGCAGCATAAACACTGGCATAACTTGGGCATGATGGAAAGCATAATTCAGCAATTTACCGAGCAAAATCCGCCAAGGGCTAGCAACGAGCAGGAGACTGCAGGGCATTGCACAATGTTAGCGCAGTACATGAACGCATCGGGCAACAAGACGATGCCTGTGGCAAGGTTTTATTGCTAAATTACGACGCTCGCTCTGATGGCAAGCAAGTTATGATGGCTGCCTTCAATCCATAGAAATGAACTGACTCTGTTGCTCGATTGTTGGGAAACACTGCGTAGGTTTACTGGAATTCACGTGCCAAATTTGAGCCCCGCAGTCACACACCCAATTTGGGTGATGAAACCCCAAGAGCAGACGGTTTCTATCTTTCTGACCCGAGCACACTTGTAACCACTCGGTTGTCACCCCGTGCGCCTGAGTCGTCAGACTCGTCACCCATTCCCCATGTATGCATCGCGTATCGGCGCAGAAGGGTGTGATAAGTGCCACACAGGCGTAGACCTCGCAACAACGCGGTGAAAGTCACTGAAACCTGCAGTGAAAGCTGCGGGCCAGTGCAGTGCAGTGGGGCCAAGCCAGGATCTAGGAAGTGGAGTCTATGACTACATCGCATAGTCAGTCTGGCAGTGTAGATCTAGACAGGGTGGAAACTGTAGACTGTACTCTGTAGAGTGTAGTGTAGCAGCGCTCCACGGCCGGGCCATGTCCCATGCCATGATTGATGGGCCTGGCATGGGCATGGACAGCAGAGTCTGTGTCAAGTACACAGGGTAGTGCCACAGTTTCTCACAAGCGCACCACCCTTTGCCTTGGCTTTGCTACCCAGATCTACCATAAAGGCATAATCTACTGCGGGCGTATCGCTACTGCTGAGCTAGCTGTCACTGTGTCAGTCACATTCTGATTTTTGTGGCTGTGTGGTACAAAGTAAGTTTGAACCTCGTCTTTCACTTTCCCGTTTCTCACCTCCAGCTATCTCCTTGCTTTTTCGGAGGCTCTGTGCTTGTTTTGACTGAGCTTAGGTTTCTTGCGATCATTTCGTTCAAGTAGATTTCTGCGAGCTGCTGTATTTGTGACGTCCTGGGATAGTGGTGATCATGGCTGAGACAGCGTTCAGCGGAGCGGGTCAGAAGGATGGCCTGGAAATCTGGCGGATTGAGGTAATGCTTTTGGGAGGTGCTATGGACGCTATGTTTCTGTACGTGTGTATCACTGACCAACTCAAGTAGAACCTAGCTTGGTGTTTTGTTCTGTACCTGATCGTTGTGTGATATCGTAAATCTCCTGGGGTGTTCTTCCAATTATGTCAAGTAACATTAGTTGTCATGTTTGTGCAGCTCAGCTGAGGTGCGGTTTGTTTGTGCTTCCCGTCGCGCGTCCGACGCGAATTTCACCTTGTCAGGTCAATGCAGTGCATGCAGTGTGCGTTTGGCACTGACTCTGTGGTCCTAACGCGATGAAGAGGGCCTAGGGAAGAGCGAGCGCTCGTGGTTTGGGCGATCGTCGTGGCACATGTATCGTGTGGACGGCGAGCGTATCGGCGAATGCATCCCACACATTCTGCAGGGATATGTGCTGGAAGTAAGCTCCACGGTTCACTGCCACTGAACTGCCACTGTGCTCGGGTGTTTTGGGAGACGCGCGCGCTGAGTAGATATACGATACGAACAAGTGAACAAGAAGAGTACACAGCCTCACCAATGGCAATGTTTCGACGTTGGTTGTGCGATGCACTAGAATAGTCTAGATAGAGGATATGATCCGCTGCGCCTGCCAGTTGCAGCAGAGATTTTGAGTTTTCGTCGTTTGGTACGTCATGGATGCCTGGTTCACATCTCTCCAGATCTGAAGAGGCCACTTGGGGTGACTCGGTAGTTGAACACCCGCTCGCAGTTGCTAAATCCTGCTCATCGCTTGTGGACACTTAGTAGCACACAATGTATTGCAGTTCTTCGAAGGTGATCTCAGCAAACGACACGTTATGCGCACACTGGGAGGGCGACGATGAACAGCCATCTGGGCAACGCACGCGACGAGAATGTGAAGACCTACAGAGCGTGGCTCAAACCCTACTGGCGGCTGAAGCGGCTAACACATTACCGGCGTTTCGTAGAATGATTGAAGGGATCAAGCCGAGTCGTAAAAGTGCACAATACCAGAAGCAGAGGGAGACTGTAACACCACGTGACCTGTAGCTGTTGTAGCGCCGCTAGATGCAAAGATTTGGCGCTGGGACACGACACACAAATATCTAAGCTGAGGAATGTTCAAACAGCTGGGACGCTCCCACTGTGATCACACACACTAGGCAGTTGCATTTTTATCGCAACCCCCTTTTCCAGCACGCCAAAGGATAATTTGAGCCAACAGTAAAGGAAAAATAGGTTGAATGGAGATTGGAAAGCTTGGGATAAGATTTCATCTTCTTCACCAAACTGCCATTCACCATTCCCTTACCAAACATGGCTCTATGTAATCTGCTGTGTTCACTTGTAAGCCCAAGTGTGCAACTGTCCACCACATAATATTCACTTGGCAGTAAACAAGACCACTTAGAGTTTTGGAAGTGGTGCTTTGGAATAGATTTTGTTATTGCCATGGAGATTACACATCACCATCATATACATTCTCAGCTACTACCGTAGACTAAGGCCAGTAAGGGCGCATTAGAATTAGTGAGGTTTTGCATTCCAAATTCCGGCTCCGCATTCTTCGGTCATTTGTTGAACATCAAAATGTCGAATTTTCGCACCAACGTTTGTTTTGCAAGTCGAAAATGATGTGTTTTCATTTCGTGAGCCCCAGCATCAGCAACGTCCTGTCCCGTGCTCCTTTTCTTTCTGATTCCGACGAACTTTGATCGCCCAAAGAGTCGAGAGCCAAACCTGCCTCCTCAGTCGCCTCAGAAAAACCAACTCCATGGCCAAGTCAAATTTAATGCGTATCGCCATAGTCTTTTCAGCCATACAGATGACGGTGAGGACACTCCAGGCGAAAGAGAGTAGGCAGGCAGTGGAGAGGAGCACTCAGAGGCAGCTGACGATGCTGATGTCGCCAAAGACGCCTGCGATGCCATGCCGAGATAAGAAACCTCTTTGAATAAATCAAGCGCTAACGCTCTTCTACAAGAAAATTCATCCAAAAAATATGTTCGGCAAAGTGAGCTTTTTCCGAACAAACATGCCGAATCTTCGTGTGCATTTTCGACCTCGCTCCCGCGTGCCGAATCTTTTTGCCGAATTTCAAAATGCAAAACCTCACTATTGTCACTCTTTGACTTTTCGAGGAGTTTTGTTTTTCTGAAGAGGTGGCCTTATTGGCCTCTTCTGAAAAACGAAGCTCCTCGAAACTCCACAACCTCATTCGATGGGAGAGGTGGATTAGTTCCGAAGAGTTTGGAATAGCTACGTCACGTAGTACGTGGAGATGGTCGATCTGATCGGATGTTATCATTGCCAGGACAATTCCACTAAAAAACTCCTAAAATGATAGAAACCATTCTAATGGGACACTTCAACTGATCACTTAAAAAAAATTGTTGTTGTGCGTGTGTGTGTGGTGGTGGTGGGGGGGGGGGGGGGGTCAATGCTGGAATGCTTCGCAAATACTTCCATATGCGTTGCCACATTGACCGATGCTGTCACGCAGGGACGTTCTCAGAGCTATGGAACGGTCTGAATAATACGGATGGCTTTCCAGACACGGAATTGGCAGTTTACACATTGACAAGTGCCTAGGGGTGTGCAGCTGGGGATTACTGATTGTTTTTTTGTTTTTCAAAAATCATCACCTCTTCTGTGTGTCCATTGTTTACTGACAAAATAGTACTTGAGTACAAATTAGACTTGGGTGAACAGGCAAGGATTAATTTACAAGAAGAAAAGAGATAGTGGATATTATAGCGTAATTTGTAGCTCTTTGGTGCTCTTTTCTTCTTCTAGATAAATTGGTAACCGGAGTTTCCGTTTTTGGCTAACGGTGGTGTTAGTAATCGCACACTACCCGCATAGGTTTTTCTCCCAGCTGCAGTTCTGGAAACGAAAAAAGCGGTTTCCAGGCACCAGCTATGCGCTCGCCCTTTCTGCCGGATGTTAGCAGAGAACCTACCTTACAAACCTTACCTTACAAAGTGGCGTCGGATCATTCACCATTATGCATTCAGTAGCCATCAAAATGAAACTCCCTACATCCACCCAAGCTATAAACAAAGCATTTTTTTATGATCAATTTTCAATCACTGAAGAATACGTTGCCGGGTTGAATGGGCGGCAAGAAAACTACGGTGGCCTTCCGGACACTTGCCAGCTCATGAATTACTATCAAATCTGGACAACAAACACCCTGCACATCACCCACCTGTTCATACCACGCGCCTTAACACATGACACACCTCGCACATCTCTACACAGTGATGACATGAAGCGCCAGGGACCCTAGCTAGCGCCAGGCGCTATAAAAGTAATGTCTTTTCTACAGCTTTGGCCATTTGAGAATTAAAATGTTGTACTAGAACATACTGTAATGATGTGTAATCAGAATGACAGGGTTGTGGCCAAAGGATCATAGATGTGAAGCCACCACACAACAGTGATTGGCTGCTCTTCGTTACCTGAATGCACCATGAAGAACCCCAGGAACCCTCTCCGTGTTCCCATAACGTATAGAAAACCTGTTCTACTCTGCATTCACGTGAAGAAATGAAGCAGGATGTGCACTGGAAAATTCCCCTTCCAACTTTGCCACAACGTAGGGAGACCTCATCTCCGCGTAGAAGTCTGGACCCAAAACACGCAAAGCCGTAGCCTCTAGCCCAGACATATGTTCTCTACGTGATTTCCCTACGTTTCACGTAGAGCAGAACATCACTAAGATGTATGCATGCTCCCGATATTAAATCTCTGTCCATGCTAGTCGATTCATCAAGCTGGTCGTGATCTTTTCTATATGCTCATCCACAGAAAATGCAAGTGGTTGCCGTCCCCAAGGATCAGTACGGAAAGTTCCACAAAGGAGACTCCTACATCGTCCTGCACGTAAGTTATGGCCTGCATTCTCACTAGCAAAGGCGATTTTTGCACAGTGTTCATTTGCGTGTATTTTGCCGAAAAATGTGGCTGAAACTTTGACTGGAAATGTTCGGTATTCAGGGCATGCACATGTTCCAATTTTGACGAAGTGCTCCGAGTATCTCAAATTGTTTTGAGAAACTGGACGCTTGCGAGGGTGGCGTACTCTTCTGGTCCGGGAAAATGCGATATCCAACCTGCCCCACCTGTCTTGGTGGGGGCAGGGAGTTGCTTGACTCAATAAGCAGAATAATTTTACTAAGTCCACTCTGCTGCCGGATAAGTACGGAAAGTGATGAGTAGCCACACAGGCCATGTGAACAGTAATTAGCTGGAGTGGAGCTGCTGAACTGGCTACGTGTCAAACCTGGGTACTTCCCTGGGCACACAGTGACTCATCCGTCGTGGCACACAGCTATGGGGCCAGTGCAAGAGTACAGGACGTGAGGCAGAGTTCCGCGGGCATTTCGGCTTCCTCCAGTGCAAGTGAGTCGCTGGCTGACCTGTCGGTGGTGTCCATCGTGCCCTTGTCTCCTTTCTCCTCGGCCTTTAGGGCTGGGCGGGCATTGTCATTCCCGCGCAGTGCAAGCCGGCTCCTGAAGCGGGTTTTCGACTCCGCTCTCGAGTGATTCCGTTGCCCTGGGCATGGACGGGAGGGCAGCCAGGTTGTGCGCAATACGGTGGCCGAGTGTGGCCACGTACTTCGCCGAATATTTGTTGACTTCCAGTATCCGGGTGGCCCGGGATAGGGCACTCACTGCTCAAAACTTTGAAATGTCCGTAGCTCTCACTTTCACATGTTTCAATGGGGAAGGGCCACAGATCTGGTGTGTGAAGTTACGATTTCCACGAAAAATAGCACAAGAGTAATAATTTCTCCACTAGAATATCCTACAATGTGCCTGGTAGACAGAGGTGCCCGTAAATTTGAGGTCGGGTTTAGAGAGCTCTAAATGTAACCGAAGATCTGAGCATGCCATATACACAGTTGGTTTATGACAATGGCAATGAGGCTTCCATAGGGTTTACCGGGTGTTAGCGGCCGTCGTGAGTTCCCTTTGGGAACGAACACGATAATTTACTTTACTTTTTTCAATGAGGCTTCCATCACTGTTGCCCCAAAGTACCCACCATGTTGAGACATTTTAACCATTAGGCATTGTTATGTGTATGTGTGTGTGTGTGTGTGTGTGTGTGTATGTGTGTGTGTGTGTGTGTGTGTGTGTGTGTGTGTGTGTGTGTGTGTGTATGTGTGTGTGTGTGTGTGTGTGTGTGTGTGTGTGTGTGTGTGTATGTGTGTGTGTGTGTGTATGTGTGTGTGTGTGTGTGTGTATGTGTGTGTGTGTGTGTGTGTGTGTGTATGTGTGTGTGTTCATGTGCATGTATGTGTCTGTGTGTGTGTGTGTGTGTGTGTGTGTGTGCTTGCGTGTGTATTATACGTGCAGACCAAGCGAGGATCAACCGGTTGGGAATGGCACATTCATTTCTGGCTCGGGGAGGAGACCTCCAAGGTAAGAATCCCACTGCCCGCTGTCAGTAGTGCTGGTGTCTTTCAGTTCAAGTATTTCTCTCTATGTGTGTATGTACGTGTGTGTGTAATTCGCCAGTGGACACATACTTCATTCGATCACCTGCAATCAGGATCCGTAATGGTGCGCAATATTGCTTTCTATAGCCACTTTTTTGCCTTTTCTTTTTTCAAATATACCAAGAGTATGTACCTCCCCCTCCCCCCCCCCCCCCCCCCCCCCCCCCCCCAGAGTGTGCAACTCCACTATGGGTGCTGTACCGACGGCACGCATTATCAGACAGATCCTGCACCGGTGGTTGACAAATCCCAATCATGGCCTGCAATCGAGGACATATGAGAGTTGCAATTTTGGTACTCCTCCAAGGTGTGATTTTTGGCCTGCTGGGCCAAGCACAAGTTATTAATGTATAATTTAGTCCAAAGAATCTCGTGTGATGCGTTGAACGGGGTGGAAAATATGATGAGTAACTCTCGCACGAAACAATCTTTTTTGTTCCCTTCGTCTATATCTTCTAAACGTTTGGCCAGATTCTCCGAAAATGTGAAAAACATGTCACGCAGATATGCAATAAAGAAACCGTGGGTATATGTGTTGAAGATCACTGGCCAGAAAAAGCCACTTCATAGCTGTGTGGTGTAGACTAGGCTGAATAGTGGCGGTCAATTCTTCAGCCTTGCAAGCTGTTGAATGGTGCAATCCCAGCACAAGCTGCCATGGCTTCTGTTGTAGCATCGCTATCATCGCCTCCGGCGATGGGCGTCAAATGGTCAAATGTGTTGAAACGTTTGTGTAAATTCTGCTATGCTACGCAGGATGAGGCTGGGGTGGCAGCGTACAAGAGCGTGGAATTGGACGACGGTCTCGGCGGAAGTCCCGTCCAGCATCGCGAGGTAATGTAGTCCCATCTGATCCTTGAGCAATGCCTTTCATAAGCATACCACAGGAGTTTCCCATTGTAAACCCATGTGTATGTGTGTGTATGTGTGTGTATGTGTGCGGGTATGCGTGTGTATGTGTGTGCCGGTTACCTTGTCAGGACAGATCTACTAGCAACTACGGTACCGGACAGAGAAATCCAACCTGATGAATAATGTATATAATGATGCCTGGGGCTAAGCAGCCCTAGCCCTACACACCGTTCCGTGCTCTCAAACACGGCACTTCTTTACTTTAGGGGGCTGCATTCCTCTGGCCAGTAGTTGGAAAGTACGTGTAATGTGTGCGAAGGGCTCCGTTGTGTCTTTTGTGTGTCATAGTGCTCCACATTATTGTGTTGAGCCCTCTCCGCTGGCCCTTGAAGGGCTCTATTTAGTATTTACCAGAGCTTTCGTTGTTCGTCTTGAGCTCCGGTCTACTTATTCATTATGTGGTCTCCAAGTGATCCACCGGCGTGTTCTGTTTTTTTGTGCACAAATCCCGTGTGCAGGTCCAGAATCACGAATCTCAGCAGTTCATGTCCTACTTCAAGGGCGGGGTACAGTAAGTCATGCCATTGCAATTCGGAATGTAGTATTGCAATTCGGAATGTAGTATTGCAAAAGAATGATACAGTAAAACCTGTAACTAAAGACCACCGTGACTAGCGACCAGCCTGGTACTACAGTAAAACCTGTAACTAAAGACCACCGTGACTAGCGACCAGCCTGGTACTACAGTAAAACCTGTAACTAAAGACCACCGTGACTAGCGACCAGCCTGGTACTACAGTAAAACCTGTAACTAAAGACCACCGTGACTAGCCACCAGCCTGGTACTACAGTAAAACCTGTAACTAAAGACCACCGTGACTAGCGACCAGCCTGGTACTACAGTAAAACCTGTAACTAAAGACCACCGTGACTAGCGACCAGCCTGGTACTATAGTAAAACCTGTAACTAAAGACCACCGTGACTAGCGACCAGCCTGGTACTACAGTAAAACCTGTAACTAAAGACCACCGTGACTAGCGACCAGCCTGGTACTACAGTAAAACCTGTAACTAAAGACCACCGTGACTAGCAACCAGCCTGGTACTACAGTAAAACCTGTAACTAAAGACCACCGTGACTAGCGACCAGCCTGGTACTACAGTAAAACCTGTAACTAAAGACCACCGTGACTAGCGACCAGCCTGGTACTACAGTAAAACCTGTAACTAAAGACCACCGTGACTAGCGACCAGCCTGGTACTACAGACCACTTCGCCAGGCAAGGACGGTCTCACATTCATTGTGGTTGTGCAGACCTCTAACTAGGGACCACCTGCCACTAAAGACCGCTTTCTGTGGCCCCAAGTTGTGGTCGTTAGTCACGGGTTTTGCTGTAATAGGCGCCTGGCAATGCCTCAAACCCAAAATCCATCACATCCTCCCACCCCCCCCCCCCCCCCCCACACACACACACATGCAAATGTGTGGACATGTACGTGAATGTGTGCATGTATGTGTGCTTGGTCCATGGCAACCTAATTGCTGGTATGACAGAGGGGTGCTGTGCTTGGTTTGAAGTACGCTCGTGGATTATTCTTTTGCAAAGCTATGGACTCGGCAACAAGTTTGGTTTGCTTCTTATTTTTCCTTTCCTTCTTCTTCTCTTTTTTTTCTTCCTCCCTCTCTGACCAGTTTTCCCATCCCACTTATCTCATCAATCAAGTGAAAATAGGAAACCCCCTCGACAGACGACCATCCTTTGTGGAATCTTTAAATAAAAAAATTAATAAAAATGGATAAAGAGATGCGAAAGGTCCGCTCGCTTTATTTGGCTCTCGCGTTAGAAAACAACGCAAGAGAGCTACATGTCACGTAGAAATTTGGCGTTCTACGTCAATCGCCTCTCTAAGACGAGAAGTTGAATTACTTTGTGACGCTTCTCGCAAGAAAAAAAGAAATGTCCTCCCCGGCCGGGAATCGAACCCGGGTCTTCCGCGTGACAGGCGGAGATACTTACCACTATACTACCGAGGATTGACTGACCATTCTGCAGCTAACAGACAACAAATAGTTGTCCTGCGCTGTTAGAGTGAATCACAAACTGCAACGCCAGGCTGTACCAACCAGGGCTCTCTTTCGGGAACGTGTTTGCTTGTGAAGAAAGTGCGTGCTCCAAACGCCGGAGCTCGTGCTTTTCGCCGACTGACTCGACAGGTATAAACTCACTCACTTATTATTTACAGAGAAAAGGACCTATAAGTTACTAGGTATCACTAGCAGTCCACCAAGGGAACGAGATAATATACAGTCAGTTAGTGCGACAACGAGGCACAAAACTGACAAGTATTAACTTATAGGTCCTTGTCTCTTTCCATAATTATTACTTTTGGCTCAACATCCGAGTTTTCACTTATCTTACTTCACGATGGGGCGCAAGCGGTATCTGTCTTCTAACTGGGCACAATTGCCACAATCCTGACAGAATGATGAAAATACTGACATGGGACGAAAGAAGAAAATAAATTTATGCAGTAGGCATGAAATAGAAGGTTCTCTTTGTAAGGCATAATTCAATTAGAGTCCGCCTCGATTGGTACTGGTGGTGTAAGTGTGAGCATTATCGTATTCTCCGAATGTAAGTCACACCTTTTCACACTAAACCTCAGGAGTGGGACTGCCTACTTAGGGGTAGTCGCAAAGTTTTTGTCGTCCCTGAAATGAACATCATTCTATTCGTACCCGGAATCCCCTCCTCTCCCAATGAAACGAACGCCGCTTGCTACGCTGGACGACAAGAATCGCATCCATTTTCATGACATATGTACAGTGTCGTTCGACTTGCGTTTTTCCCTCGCACGTCCTCCCCCCCCCCCCCCCCAAACGAATGGTGTTCGCTTCAGGGACGACAAAAACCTTGTGCGACGACCCCTTATGTGAATGTGTTATTTATTTATTTATTTATTTCTGCACCTTGTGGCATGTCAAGACAGCCAATTGAATTGAGGCGAGGGTGAGACCAACCACGGAAGAAGAGAAAAAAGAAAATGAAGAGCACGTACACAAAGTGGGAAGGGATTAGCAACTTACAAAGCAATGGGTGGATACTAGATACCATTTGGTTCCAACTTGGAGATGGGTTTCGACTTCTAATCAAGTGTGACTTATTATTGGGGAAATACGCTATGCATTTGTGTTATTACTCAGGTACAAAGAGGGTGGTGTAGCGTCAGGCTTTCGCAAGGTGGACAAGACACACAAAGTGCGCCTGCTGCACATCAAGGGAAAGCGTCAAGTTAGAGTCGTGCCAGTAAGTGTACTCTGCCACGTGTGTGTGTGTGTGTGTGTGTGTGTGTGTGTGTGTGTGTGCACGTGCGCGCTGGCTTGTGTGTGTGTGTGTGTGTGTGTGTGTGTGCCCGCACGCACGCACCCGTGTGTGTGCACGTGTTTCATGTTTCGAAACTGTGAAGACAGCCTGAGCAAGTTCCTCTTCCTTGTGCGTTCCTGAACATGTACAGGTTGACGTGAAGGTGTCATCGCTGAACCGTGGCGATGTCTTTGTTCTGGACAATGGCCAGCAGATCTACGTGTGGAACGGTGACAAGAGTCGGCGCAATGAGAAGATGAAGGTTGGTAACGTTAAAACCACCATCTGGCTGGCAATGCGCAACCATTTTTTTCTTTGTGTTCATTTTGTGAACTTGAAAACCCAGATTTACCTCTGTAGTTAAACCTCCGCTGCCTTGATCCTTCCAAGTGGAGGGTGGTGGCGTTCTTGCAAACGCGGAAACCTCAATCTACCTAGGCCTCACGGGAGCAATGAACTTTTCTGTCTCTACATGCGCACTCATTCTACAATGCCGACCATGCTGGCATGATACCATGCGTATGCATTTTCTCTGCATGGCTTTGCTGAGTTCTGTAAGTGCAAAACATTGCAAAGCAACTGCAAATGTTCCAAGAGCTTGTCCATGCTTGGACATACTTCACCATTGCCGAAAAAGGTTTACTCTGGACATGTCAAGATGCATGTCAAGATGTGTATGTATGTTGTCCAAGTTTGTATGCAAGTCGGGCAGACGATGCGAAAAACTGAAAAAAAGAAATGTCCTCCCCGGCCGGGAATCGAACCCGGGTCTTCCGCGTGACAGGCGGAGATACTTACCACTATACTACCGAGGATTGACTGATAGGCAGAGATCAGGCACACTACTCCAGATCATCATTGTCCGAATACACACTCGTACAACTGAAGTACGGTGCTGCTCAATGCAATCCAGCCGTATCACTTAAACGTTTGCTCCTAGCATCATTTCGCAATCCCGTGTTCGCAGGTCTCAGGCTGTGCAACTCCCGCACATACTTTTTGTTTTTTGTTTGTTTGTTTCTTTTATTTGAATTCGTTTAGAGCACAGGCAATTCTGCCTTCTCACCAGAGGAAAAACCTCCGGTTTCTGCTAAGAACGAATATAATATTATGAGAGAAGGAAATATTAAAAAGAATCATAACATGATAATTCCAAAGCACAAAGTTTGTATATAATTCAAATGGGTGTGTGTATGTGTAAGCATGCAGTGAAGAAAACACCGAGAAAACATGCAGTAATGTGTAGGGATGCCGAGCAAGGTGGTTACAAATTACAATTAATTCTGTTCAGAGCCAGTTTAAAGGCAACCGCCGCACTGTGGAGGCGAATATCGCTGGGAAGGGCATTCCAAAGAGTGCTTCCCACAAATGTCAATGACTGACGACCGGAAGGTCCAGGAAGGAAAGGCACTTGCAGTAGCCGCTGCTCCTGTCCTCGAGTAATTCGGCGATCATCCCGGGATGCTTGGCCTGTGTTAGCCATCAACTGAAAGTAGGTGCAGAAAAGAGGACTTGCAAGATCATGTAGGCAACGGAAAACAAAAAACAAAACCTTGTAGTTAAAAATGTGAGTTAGGGATCGAATAGATAAGCGCACGAGGAGGGGGGCTGTGGATGCACGGCTGGAGAGTCGGAAAATTGCACGAATTCCGGATTTGCTGGATTTGATTAAACGACTCTGCAGCTGCTGTGTCAGCGACGGGAAGAATGCATTGGATGCGTACGTTAGTCGTGCTTGCACAATGCCAATGTACCAAAGTCTGCGGGCTCTTATGGGCAGAGATCGCCCATGGCGCCATAGCTGGCTGATGGCGACTGACGCCTTCTGCACAACACTGGAGACATGTGGCTGCCAGGATAGCTGGTCATCAATGGTTACGCCAAGGTATTTGGCAGTGGAGGTTACAGTTAAGGCTTGATCCTTACATTTCACGACTGGTATGTCGCCAGTGAGTCCCCGAGGTTGAATTACCATGACTTGGGTTTTGCCGGTATTCAGCAGAAGCCCAATTTCGGAGAGCCAATCAGACAGACGTGTCACAGCCGTAGTCAACGTCTTGCAAACAGTGTCCAGATCTGAATCAGAATAATCTAGGATGATGTCGTCCCATTACTCCTGATGAACAACAATGCAAGGTATGACGTCGGAAATGTCACTCGTGTAAAGGACAAAGAGAAGCGGCCCAAGAACACTGCCTTGGGGCACACCTCTTGAGCATGGGACTGCATCTTGAGTGACGCGACTGGATTTCATAGAGCAGGACGGTGGAAAACAACCAATGGATTTTTCATATTTGAAACTGTCCACCTCTCCACACTGCTGGGAGGTGGACAGTTTCAAATCATTTTCAAATGGCCGAGTCCGTCGCAGCTTCTGATTATCATGTTTTTGTTGTTTTGTTTTATGTCATCCACAGGGCATGGAGGTCGCGCGCCAGCTCCGTGATGAGGAACGCGGTGGCAAAGCCCACATCGTCGTCTTGGGTAGGGGAATTCAAACGCAAATTCAAGAAAGCTATCTCTAGTTTCAGATCGCTTTTCATGAAGTGAATTGTTTTGACTCTATATCTATGCCGGATTTTTCCAGCCTTGTTAGAGCAATTCCAAATCTGTGCAAAATCAAATTTCTGCCTGGAGATGTTTTCTACAGCATGATCACGGTCAGATTTGAAGATGACAACGGATTGTCGAGAACGTACTGCATGTCTATGGCAACATTCTTGATAATCACAGTGTGCATGTGTGTGTGTGTGTGTGTGTGTGTGTGTGTGTGTGTGTGTGTGTGTGTGTGTGTGTGTGTGTGCGTGTGCATGTGCATGTTTGTGCATGTTTGCGCATGTTTGTGCATGTGTGTGCATGTGTATGCATATATGTGCATGTATGTGTATGTGTGCATGCATATAATACTCTCGTTATGCCTTTATTATTCATCTCCGCTGTTCTCAGAGGAGAAGGAGGATGACGAAGCATTCTGGAAGGCGCTGGGAAGTGCTGGTCGCCCCAAGGTGATCAGAACTGAGGACAGCGATGCAGCTGATGAACAGTTCGAGAGAAAGAACCTAGCCAACATTCGTCTTTATAGGTATGACTTTACTAGGAGAGAGTTGCGGTTGCTCCGACTTGCTCATGACAGTGATCAATACGTCTAGGTGCAGAGCCTAGTATACACACATTTGAAAGAAGGAATCAAAAGCGCTTCTGCTGTAACTCTGAGTTGCAAGGTTTTCACCGATCTTAAAAAAGCAACTAGTAGGTATGACATTTTACAAGTGTATTTGCATAGGCATTGAGGGGACCTTGAGCTACACTGGTGGCATATTCAGAAGGGATCCAGTGAGGCTAGGCCGGGCCCCTCACCCTGAAACTCCGGATATGGTTCACCTCTGCTGCAGTGAGGGTACAGTCACCCATCCCTGTCACTGTATAGTTGGGACAAACTGCGTTTACTCTGAACTGCCTCATGTTTGCAACATGATCTAGAGGAGAGCGTGGCACAGATGTTTACCTTTGTGAAGTCAATGTTCAACCGTCGAAGAATGATGGATGTGTTTGGCCACAGTGCTCCACGAAACATTCCCGTTGTTAATATAGTGGTCTTGAGAAATTGCAACACACCATTGCCACACACGTTGGACGGCTTACAGCAGTTGAGGCAAAATGACACAGTGCACTTCTGCACTCACCATGGTTTTGCCTGTTGGGAAGTACCGTGTATACTATGCTTCGGAGTTTAAAAGCCAGGTTGGGCCCTCTTTAGAACCACCCTGCATTCGCTACCTGATTCCGAATGTTTCGGTGCGGTCCGATTGTTACATAGTCAATTGGTAAGTTGTGTGTGTGTGTGTGTGTGTGTGTGTGTGTGTGTGTGTGTGTATGTCGGTATCCATTTGCAATAGGGTGTCTGATGCCACTGGATCGCTGGAGGTGCGAGAGATTTCCGGAACTCCACTGCGGCACTCTCAACTGGACACGAATGTAAGTGCAGCTCCATACGAATCATACAACTTTTCTGTGCATTTGGTTGCTGAGCTAAAGAACGGACTGAATTATTTTATCGCTCACTGCTTAAAAATTCTGCCCTTTTTCAAATTTTTGGACCAAGATCCCGTTTGAATTAAATCAGTCAAATACAATCAGCTGCTCCCAATACAGATCAACTCAAATCATACAACTTTCACGCATTCTTTTCGTCCTGGAAACAACTCGATGTTTGAGTTCCAAATACGTTTTCTCAGTCTCGTTTAAAATGATCCATTATTCGTAAGTCTGAGGAAAAAGAATTTCTTTGGTTTGAGTGAAAGATGCCAACGGGAAAAGTCTGAAAAAAAGTGTCTGTCACTGAAACTGAACAAGTTCTAGTAATGTATACCGTATTTTTCCGGTTGTAAGTCGACCTTTTACGACTTAGAATAGACGGAGAAAAGATTGGGGTCGACTTACAACCGGGATTCGACTTATAACCGGGAACTATCAGTATCTTACAAAAAACGACCTGCACTGCATGCACGAGTGCACCATGTGTACACATTGTTGCCAGTTTATTGGCATTTTTCAAGGATTGGGACGTTATACTCTCCAATAAGGATGGTTACATGATTTGTCGATGTGTTAGTAGCAGGAGGTGGTAAGTAGTGCTTCTTTGGGTGAACACTTTAAAACGCAGAATTGAGACGTCCGGATACGGGGGTCGACCTATAACCGGGGTCGACTTTCAACCGGTAAAATACGGTAGTCATAACCTTGAGTCAGGTTTAAATTCCCTCTAACTAACTCACTGCTTATTAGATACTGGCTATTATTGCCAGGACTAGTGACTCTGTACTCAATATGATGCTTCTGTTCTGTTGAATTTGAAGGATTGTTTCATCGTGGATGGTGGTCTCCAAGGTATCTACTCCTGGGTGGGAAAAGGCTGCACGAAGCAGAGAAGAAGGAGGCCATGAAGAGAGCTATGGTGAGTTGCCGGGCGTGATTTGACTTTCAGATGGGAGGTGGGGAGCATGAAAGGCCTGGTGGGGCATTTGGGATAGCCGAC